GGTTCCACAGTCTCGCCTGGTCTAGCTTCATGTGGTTAGCTGTGTTTTAATTGTTTTACGTAGTTTGCTTACCTAGCTAAAGTTAATTATGTATTTGGGTTAGTTAGTCAGTGAGTCAGTCAAGTCAAGTCACGTCAAGTCAAGCCAGCCAGCCAGGTCAGTCACTCAGGGTGAGTCAGTCAGTCAGTCAGTCAGTCAGTCAGTCAGTCAGTCAGTCAGTCAGTCAGTCAGTCAGTCAGTCAGTCAGTCAGGCGCAGGCAGCCAGTCAGTCAGTCAGCCAGTTGGTTGGTAAGTTTGCTGGTTGAGGGAGGGAGGGAGGGAGGGAGGGAGGGAGGGAGTGGGTGAGTGAGTGAGTGAGTGGGTGAGTGAGTGAGTGAGTGAGTGAGTGAGTGCAAGGGTGAGAGGGAGGGAGGGGGGGGGGAAGGAGCTGGAGATTCACGCTCAGTGGGTGGGTGGGTGGGTGAGTTTGTTAGTTGGTTAGTACGCTACTTCGTTCGTTAGCCTAGTTTAGTTCTAGCACGCGCATGTCGTTGCGACTTCCGTGCGCGCGCGGGTGTGCTTAAACGGTGTAAGCAACTGTTCACTGTTCGAACAAGGCTGCTGACGCAAATCGGTGATCAGCTTCGGAAAATGGAAGCTCTACACGAGACCCTGACCGGCAAGCAGGCCACTGCTGCTGTCTCGCCCGACGAGTGCACAAGGCCCCAGGGCTTGTCGCTTTAAGCAACCCAACTGTTGAATGGCCGCCCTGAAGGGAATGGAAAAATGCACTTCTTGCCGACCTGGTCACATGCACAAAGCTTGACGTCACTATGAATTCGATCCTTTTGAGGGCTCGGTGCCTTATCTGCACTGCAAAGAATGTGTAGCGATTTGAATCAGTTCTAGAGCTTGCCGCCATGCCTGGCCTCTTGCCAAGGCCGATGCTCCCAAAGCCCGGGAGCACAGCCTTACAGGGAACTGGCGACAAGCAGAAGGCTCCCAGAACCCCCAAAACCAAGAGCGCGCCTGCGTCTAAGAAAGGTCCAACAAAGAACAAACCGAAAGCGCGGGCCAAGAAGAATGATGATCAGAAAGAGGAATCTGACAAACAGGTGTCTGCCCACAGGTGGTAGCAAGCAAGCGTGCCAGCTTGGGGACTCATTTCGGAGAAAACCGTGATCACTATCCATGCAACCATGTGTCAAAGCTACGAAGCACGCTTGTTGGCGATTTTGACCAACGCATCGCAGAGGAGGGCAACAAAAAGGAGCGCCAGAAACATTGCTCCACATAATTCTCAGCTGGCCATATGCAAGTATGAATGGACGAAACATTTCACCACCTTATAAGAAACCGTTTTCTGAAAATTCCAACAAACAATGCCTTCCCATATGGTTTCAAAGTGGTGCAGGATTTCGTCCATCCACATGCAGTGTTGCGCACGGATGGGATCTTTCAATGAAAGTTGGATGGTTGCCAGGCCACCGAATTCAGCGAGGCCTGAATCCCAGCTTTTGCCAACCCAACCTCCAACCTGGCCTGCTGCAGGTGACGACCTGGATGATGAGAGCTCCAGCAGCGACCTCTGCGATGAGCTGTTCGACATGTTTGCGCAGGGGGTGGCTTGGACAAGCTGTCTCCAGCGAAACACGTTAAAACACACTGCGTTTGGGATTCGTTTTGTCCCTCAGGCTTCTGCTGAATCGATATCTCGGATTAGCGCCCGATCTGCGAAAACACTTAAGAAAAGTGGACTCTTGGCAGCAGGTTGGCGCTTGTGCACTAGCCAGCGGTACGTTGATTTGATGTTGCGCGAGGAGCACGAGATCAGAAAATGAACTATCTTGCCAGCTGCTTTCAGTACGACAAGCATGGCAGAAATGCAAGCCGCAACATCAACAAACTCATACACCGCCAAGGTAGGACACTGGAAGTGCCGGTGAGCGCAGTACGTGTGCCTATCAGGGTGTCTGCACGCCGGCCAAAGGCCATGATTAACTGGCCGGTTTTGCACTTGAGCTCTTGGCTAAAGACTTGTTGCAACACTTCTGCCTATAGTGGCTTCTTCTTTCTGAGTGGCCGGACCATCGACCAGCCCGAGGAAATTAGGGGCATGCTGGGGCGTTTTTGGGAGCGCCACTTGAAGGCCCTGGAGTTTGCCCCGCCCTTCCCTCAGCAGACCCTGCCAGTGTATCTCCATGGCGATGAGGGCCGTGGACAGGGAAAACGACCAATTCTTGTGATATCTTTCCAGCCAGTGATGCCGTGGTTTGGGGAGAATGAGGTCAACTCTTCAAAGCGCTTGGGCAAAATGAGTTATAAATGGTCAACGGTCGACTAACTTGTGTGTGTGAGGAGTTTGTTTTGAACGGGAAGCCAAGGCACACCTTTACAACGCGTGCGCTGTACACCGTGGTGCCCTCTGCAAACTACGCGCCGAAGGGGGGGACTTTGAAGGAGCTTCTTGCGGCTCTCAGAGACGATCTCAACAGCTTGTTTGAAACCGGCTTTGAAGCGTCTTGGCTCACATTCAACATGTAGAAAGCATGCGTGTGAATCTATGAACAATGCATGACTCTACTGGAAGCAGCTTAGGTTGAGGTGAATGGACAATCCCACAGGTACTTCGTTACTTGCTTGGGGACGAAAGGGGACTGGCCATGGCTGAGATCTGCGTTTGGCCTCCGTTCTGGATACAGCAGTGGCAGAAAATGTCACCTTTGTGACCACCCAGAGACATAGCTAGCATTCGCATGGAGAATGTGGAAGCGTGCGCATGTTTTTATCATCGTCGGATCAAATTTTCGAAGTATAAGGAGTGGTACGATTTGGGCCCATCCTCGCCAACCTGGACATGCAGCAAGGATTCGCACTTGACAGTGCCCAGACCTTTCAAAAGGGAAAATGCACCACTTCGAGAGCTGGCCCCCTTTGGTGATGACCCCAACCAGATCAAGATTGACATAGCGCACACTTACGCAATTGCAGGTTATGGAAAAGATTGCCAGGCATCTACATTGATCTTTCTGGCTGTGAGGTGCCATGTTTGGGGCAGAGCAAGAAAGTACGAAACGCAGCTGGAGTGGGCGTACAACGCGTTCTCAGCCTGGTGCAAGGCCCATCAAAAAACCTCAAGCATACAGGAGTTTAGCAAGGCGGAGCTCAAGATCACCTCGCTCCTCACCAACACATTTTAAGATTTTGATCCAACGTGTAACACGCAATGAGCGTTTCTACATTAACCACCTCCTTGTTCTCAGGCTGCGCAAATTTCCTCGAGGATTAGGCAAAGGACATGACTGCGCTCTCTTGGCTTCCTGGCTGCGGGATGTCCTCAAAGAGCTTGACCCGGCCTCGGTGCCGGCAACTTGGATTCATCTTGGGTGGCGTGGGGATCTGTTTGTGAGTTGCTTCCCACCAAGGCGAACTGCCGAGAAATCCTAGAGGTTGTCAAGTATGGAAACCACGCTGAGAACGAATTTTTCCGGACAATATATCGCAGCGGGCTTTGGCTCACCCGCTGTGAAGCGACGTGTGTCGTTTCGCATGGGAAACACATGCTGGAAACTTCAAAGCATATTAGATTGAGTGAAGGGCGGCCGCCATTCAATTGTTCCACATTCTTGCTGAGGAGTCGTACGGTGCCTTGAGCTACCTGTGTGATCAGAAAAAATGGAAGCTGTTCTACTTGCGGCCCAAATGCCACATGATGATGCACGTGGTGTCACACGGCTGAGATTAGGAGCATCACGCTCATGATGTGTGAAAGCACGCCCTGCCCAAATCCCAGGTTGCAGGTGGAGTACCAACTGGAGAACAATGAGTGCCAGCGTATTTTGAGTCCGGCCAGCCTGAAACTCAAAGTCTCAAAGGGGTGATTCAAGCGTGCTTCGGGCTGAGGCACGGCCACATGGAGCGATGAAGATTTCATCGGCCGTGTGAGCCGCACGAGTAGACGGGGTCACTCTTCCATCAATCTTCCCTTTCGCACTTTGAAAAAGTGTTTGATGCAGTACCGAAACCAGTGGGGCAGAGCAATTGCTTCCTCCCACTGACCGCTTGCGGCATCCAGCTTTTTAGAAAGAATATCACGCAAAAAGAGGACCCCTAGCCTTCAAAGTAGGTGGCCTTTGTTTGATTTTTGATCCCAGATCCGTAAAGGAACCCTGCGAAGTGCCGCGGTCAACACGTCAGTGTCCAGGGCCCGAGCGTGGGCAGGATCATCAGCTTGCCGAAGAAGACGCGCCAGCGCTGTATGTGCACTGTTTGTGTGTGCAAGCGTGGGTCACTGCAAATAAACCCTTTCTGGGATTCAGTGTTTCTTGAAGTAGCTTGGCCTTTTGCAGCTTAGGGGGACAGTTGGTCCGACTGGAGCCTGTCAGCAACTATACACACCCCGAGCGATTTTTGAGACCACGAGCGCTTTTTGAAGGAACGCGCGGTTTTTGGCACGCGCGAAAAAAAACGGCCAAATGAAGATACAGGTAGATATACAAATCAAACGATGGACATATGGATATATGCAACGATGCATGATTATGCATATGCAATCATCTGAAAAATGTAAGTATGTTACATACAACAATGAAAAAAAAACAGCACATGTTTTGAGCAACGGAATCAACACATGCGATTCGGGCGTGGAACAAGTCTCCATTTTGTTTCCGGGTTTGTGCCAGACATGTTGTCCCTTCCACATGGACCATAGACTGCATGGTTTGGTGGAGCATGGTGGAGCCTCATACAGCCCGTCCCCATATATACTCCATCTCACCCAAGAAGACTTCCACCTCCGTTGCCCAAGCTGCCCTGTTAGGCAGCAAAAACCCGCTCAGCAATTACCATCATCAGAATGCTGCTCCTATTCTGCGAGGAGAACCCACACGCAAAAGCTTCCCTTGGCCTTGTCAACATTTTGGCCATGGCAAGAAGCGAAGCTACGGAATTTCGCTACGGAATTTCGCTAGGGCGACTTCCAGTCGGAAAGGTCACCCCTCCGTCTTGCAGTGCCAAGCGGCAGGAATATACTGAGATGTGCACATCACCTCAGTTTGGATTCGTATGGCCAACTTCATCTCGTAAGCCACTTGAAATTTCTAAGAAATAAAACTCATGCTTGACGACAGTTTAACCAGGGATTTTCAACTCAGCCTCCCAGCCTAAAGAATGCATGTCTCAAATTGCCAAAGGACTACATGCATCTTGCTGGAGCGAAGGAAGAAGAGGTGCCACAGCAGTCGCAGCTCATAGTTGCTGACCCCTGGGATCTTCACCAGTTCCTGAAAGGCAGTTTTAGCAAGGGACCCAAGAAAACATCTGCTAAATGCAAAAATCAATGAATCATTGATTGGGCAAACAAACATGGCTTCGGCTTCGACCCAATTTTCAGGAATTTGCACAAATGACCGTCGTTTGGTGTAAGCTGAAACCCGTTCGTTAGAGCCCGTTCCCTTTAGTCCTTCCAATCCAGCGAGAGAGAGGACACCACCACCAAGTACCGCTCCGTATTGTTTCCCTTCTCCCGCAGAAGCACGTCGATGGGATGGTCGGTGTCACTGACGGTTCGCCTCAGCGCTTGCTCACAAAGCGTTTCTTCATTTTGAGGAGCCCTGAGAGTCTTACTGTGTGTGGACGAAATCCATTTCGCACCACTTTGAAACCATGGGAAACCATTGTTGATTGGTATTTGCGGGGGAATTATCAGAGACCAGGGTTTCCTGGGTGGTGCAAGATTTCGTACGTCTTCAAAGGGACAACCCCGGCCCTCCATACAACAAGAGGCGGTTGGCCCTGCAAATCTGCGGACACTCACCACGGAAATGGTCGTTCAAATCTTCTTGTGAGTGTGGGACGACCCATCTCTTGGTCCAAGGAAGGTGTACCAAAAGCAGCTCCAGAACATAAGCCAGGCTTGTAGCAAAGGCAAACGGCACGCGCTTTGCAGTGATAGCCTCGTTATTGAACAGGCCAGGCACTTTGCTGGATCATGGCCAAATGGACTAACATGTCCATGGGAGACTGTTGCCACCAATTCACAAGGGAATAGGGCGGAGGCCTAAGCCCCTATTGTTTCCATGGGTGGTGAACTTCAATGAGTTTAACAGAGTGATTCCTTTTGCACAACAACCAAAAAAAACACATATTCTGATTGTCCTTTGACGCAAGCGACCGGAACGCGCTTGTTAGACCCCCTTTTTTAGGATCCCCTGATCCTCCCTGGGAAACTATGGGGCCAGGTTCTGGTCCAGCATCCATTCCACAAAGGCAGCCCCAAAGTGGACCTGTGGCTTAGCCGGTCGGGATATTAGTCAAACACATGCCAAGTCCCCAATTGAGCTCCTAGCGTCGAAACTTGGCAAAGCTTGGCAATCAATCAGCTTCCGTTGACAGTCAGCCAGGGCTCCACAAAATGGTGTAGACCCTTTGGAAAATGCCTTGGGCGGCACCGTGGGAAAAAAGGATTGTTTTTGAACGCAAGCAACCGCCATGGCGCTTCAGCTGACGGCTGGAGGGACTTGGTTGATGAGAGTGCACGCCTCAACCATGTCAGTGGGAGCCACGGGGAAAATCACGATGCGCCCCGAAACAAACCGTTTCTAAAAGAGACCGGGTGTTGGTGTGGATGTGACGGTGCTTTCTGGCAAAACAGGTACATCCCAGGGAGCACCCCTTCTGCTCTAAAATGTGGCCCGCAAATCTGTGTGTTTCTTGAGAGTGCTTTCCCTAACGCCCTGTGTCCGTGAATGTGGCTTGAGCATCAAGAGGGCATGCTTGCAGTCAGCCATTGCCCTGCCTGTGTCCTCATCAATCCTCGGAAGCACGTGAGACAAACTTGCGCCAACCCTGTCACAAAGCTGAGACCATCTGAAGCAAGCCACGGGTATCCCACTTGCGCCGCTTGCTTGCCGGTCGGGGATCTCTCCTAGCAAGGAACACCAAAACATACAACACCCACTAAAAAGCAGACACCACCATCGGTACCGCTCAATACTGCCCAGAGCCGTGCACCATGCGGGCCAACTGAAATTGAAAGTTCACGAGAAAGCCACTCGCCAAAAGTAACTTGGGTCATATTTGAGCACTCAACGTGCCAGCCCACTTGCGGGGCTGCAGTTCCGAATTGAACAGTACCCAAGCAAAAAGAAGGTTTCCCCGCTTAAAATTGGCCAAAGGAAGAATGACTAGGTCCTCCAGTAGAGAGGTTAGAATAAGTGTACCCTTTTTTCTGTAGTCTATTTCAGTAGGGGAACCCTCCCCCAAGAAAGGGCAAAGGGCACTACTAGGAAACCTAGATGAGTGAGGGCATGCTGCTCCTTAGGTGAGGCATTGCCAGGCCGTCCCCTTGGCGAGCTGGGCCGGTTCCTCGGCGATCGACCCGCCCACAAAAGGTCGCTGAGTGGGAGACTGAAAGTTGACCCCGGATGAATACAGCCCTCGTTGAGGAATGGGAGGGTCCCGTTTTAGAAGGACACCTGCATATTTGATCACATTTGAAGCAAACACCCCCCACTACTCCGCCAGGTACTTAACTCAAGCCTAATTTTCGGGAAGGCCACTGAAATTGCCTTCCCACATTCCAAGGTTTCAAGTCCAACTCAAGCAAGTGAATGGAAGACCATAAGCGTCGCTCGGTGAAAGGCTTCCCGGGGCTTGGCTGCGAAATGGAGCATGTGCAGGAGGCGCCGGGGCAAAAGCAAAGCCGGGCAAAGTGTAAAAGGGTAAAAGGGGTCGAACACTGCACCGATGTCAAGAATCAACTGGCCGGATATCCGCACCATTCCGCACCTATCTCTGGTTCAGACTGACCCTTACTTACGCTTCATCTACCCGAAGTTTTGATTGTAGCTCACAAGCTCCCGCCGAGCATTCCTGGTTTGTGGTGTCATCTGTTGTGTCAAGTGCGCAGAGACGGAAGCAGGCAGAATGGCCCATGCCAACCACTGGCAAAACTTGACTCCAGCTAGCGCAGACCAACCGCTGCCAACAAAACAATCAAGCAAATAGGCGCAGCAGGCAATCATACAACCAATCGCCGCAAATCCTTTGACATCCCCTGCCGGTGACGTCAGCTTCCTGCCGGCCCTCTCGTTTAGGTCCGGGCATGATGAAGGCTGAGCGGTCCAGGTCCTACCAGCAATCAAGTGCAATGGTCATCAAAAACAAATATTCAAAGCTTGGCCAAACGAAAGCGAGTTTCAGTTCAGGAACCCCGCCTCTGAAAAAAACTGCGGAATGCCGTGGGAAGAGCACAGAAACGCAGCCATTCGATATGTGCCAAATGAAGTTGGACCATGTGCAGGGTCCTTTTGCTCTCCCTTGCAAAACCACCAAAGCAGGCCCCGTTGACATCAAATTTGCGCCCGGGTCACATGACCAGGTTTCATTGAGTAAACAGGACCTAAATGTTACCCTCCTGAACATTAGCATGCACTCCAAGAAAGGATCCCCAATATCTAGGTATTGCCATCCGGCCTGAGGCTGGAGTTTCACAAACAAACCGCAAGTCTCGCTGCCGCAGGCAACCTGACTGCAAATGTTTCACAACCACAAGGCCAAATCAAAGAACCTCCAAGTCTCTAAATGGTATGCGTCAAAAACAAGGGGAATCGCAACCATGGTGGTGTCCACTCGGTTTCTCTTTAACCCCAAATGGAACAGGCACCCTCGACAAAAACACACACACACACACACACACACACACAAGTATCCCTAGTACTCTCTCCAATGTGTCCTGAAAAGCCCTGCACGCAAGCTGAGGGCGTTCCGTTCCCCAACAGAATGATGTTCGCTTCAGCCCAAAGGGGTCATTCTGCCGATGGGTGAGTAAAATATCTCGCCCGCCTACAGAAGTCTAGGCAAGGAGGCTTCCGTGTTCTCCGCTGTCAGCTTTACATCTGATATCCGTTTCAACCAGCCTCGGAAAAAGAACTCGAACAAGTCCGGGTCTACAACTGGGAGCAAGAACCAGCATTTCTATTCAGGGTCCCATGTCAGCTCACGCACCACTCCTCTGAAACAAGTTTCATGTTGAAACCGCCCAAAAGGACATCTATAGCCGAGTTAACACCCAAAAGGAACTTGGGCTGCCCTCAGATCTCTTGCTAAAAGTTTAACTTTTGGTGGGTTAAATGGAACCCCCCGCTAGACCCTGAAAAGCCAAGAAGCTAAGGAACCGGATGGCTGGGAGCCACCCAAAAGGGACATCCAAGTACCTGTGGCGGGCACAAGGATCCCCGCCTTCAAGTTGGCATTGCTGCCAAAAAAGACGGCCCTTCGGACTCTGTCCAGCTGATCCGGCGCCAATCTGCCTGGCTTGTGAGCGGTCACTCGCTGTACTGCAGCCTGATATGAAAGATTAGTGTAAGTCTGGTCTATGTTTGTCAATCCAAAAGCAGCGCAAATCTAACTCCTTTTTGGGTTGCTGAAAGGGAAGCCAGTAGGAATCCGCTGCCATTGATTAACTTTTGGAACCGACATGAAGACACCAGTGACGCTTCTGAGGGATTCCATCCTCAACTTCACCCCCGTTGTTTTTACTGGACGATACTGGACGCCCCCCCCAAAGCCAAAGCTGTGTGAGAGAACCCCTGTACGCACCAAGTAGCATGTACTTTCTTGTCGTTCGTTCTTCACACAAATGTGTGTTTTGGCTTCCCTCCTTTTCACTTGGGTCTCTTGGCTGCTTTTCAGGTGCGCGCATGGCGCTGACCAAGTGCTTTCCTCCTTTCTGAATTGAGGCCCTGTTCGAAAAAAAATGAATCACCTATCAAGTAGACAATGGGGTGTGCATATAGCGCGTGTCTTAGTTGTATGTGGTTGATGGTTGTTCTGCAGGCACGGCTGCAAACGGCCAAAAGAACGCAAGGGATTGCAAGTCTGGCCAAGTGGACATGGCAAAGTGTTCAAAGCACGCAGCCGGACGGCTTCCAGTCACTAAGTTGAAGTCCATGGAACTCAGGTCCCCCAAGCAGTTCCGTCTCTGAGAGAGAGCCTCGTTGCTTCAAGTAGGCCAACGAGCTGAGACACCCTGAGTAAAATCACACCAAAACAACATTCGCCCCTAAACTGCTCTTCCCAGAATGCTTAAACTCCAGAGACGCAGGAAGCCAGTCACTCCGCAAGGTCACCTATACCTATGATTGAGTCCAAAACCCGACCGTTTCTGTTTCAAACCAACAAGCCCCCCGGCGCCCGGCGCCCGCATCGCGCGCGCGCACGTGATTCGCGCGTTTTTTCGTCTGACGCATGGCGGGCCCGGCGCCGGAGGTCCCGCAGCACTTCCGGCAGAAGTGTGCCCCGAACCTCGGCGGCGCGGCTCGCGGCTGCGAAGGTCACCTCCGGACGGCGGGGGATTTGTTGGGGGGGGGGGGTAGGGACCCCTTCGAGCCGGAGGTTTCCTATTGGTTTCCGAGGAAAACGGTGGTGTCCTGTTGGTTTCCCAGCAAAAACAACAAAAAAGACAAACAAATAATATGATCTCTGCAAAAGCCAGCACCAGTTGTACTTCCGTTCTTTCTAGGGATCCTGCTGTTAGTTTGTGGTTTCCTGAAGGGCGATGGGGGGACCAGAGCGGGGGATCAACCCATAGGCAGGCCTGTGGCGCGGCTTAAACAATATGCCCCTCACTGCCCATGGCCTTCAGGGAGCAACATGCCCCCTTGAAACATCACTCCAAAAAGAAGCTTCCAACTTGTACTTGGTCGACGTTAGAAGGGGAGCACAAAAAAAACAAGCAGTTAAGTGGGAATTTCCCACTAAACCACAATAAGCAAAAATGTAAATGTTTCCCAACAACACCATCCAAAGGGACATGTTAGGACTCTCGGTTGCGCAGGGTTGCGCTACCTGACCAAAACTATTTGTTTTAAATGTCCTCATTGTTTTCTCTTTCAAAGGGCTCATGGTCTTTGTGGTTTGAACCATTTTGCCCAAACAAGTGCGAGGGCAAGGAGTGGGCGATGCCAACTTGAACCATCCATAACTGGGTGCTCAGGATCCTTCGGACAATCTCTCGAAGTTGCATGATGGTTAAAAACGTGCCAGCCGCTGGTTAAATCTGCTAAAACTGAAAACCTTCAACACGGAGGAGGGCCATTTGTGACCTGAAGCCCTGACTTGATGACAGTCGACTTCGTGACGAATCGTTTCGCGCCTCATCGAAGTGCATGGATGACATGGTGCCAAACAAGGCCATGGCCTGCTGCCAAGCTCTGGCGTGCGCGCAGGTGCTCAGGGCAGCATTGCCTCAATTGGCGAGGACCTGGAAAGAAAAGGTTTAGCGTTTCGAACCGAATTCGACCAAATATGGACCGAATCAAGGAAACCAAATGGAAGAAAGGTCGAGTCGCTTTGGGCAAGTCAGACCCGGACTGAACATAGACCAAAACCAAAGGGCAAAAAACAAGTCGACTTGCTTTGAGTGAGATGCAGGTGATCACGTTGGCCTCCAGCCCATCCTCCGACAACTGCCGCAGCAGGCACAAAGATAGCCTCGCTTGGCCGATGGAGGTGGGTGAAGGTTGACCTATGGGTTTTGGGACCATGGGTGAGGCAAGCAAACCGCGTAAAGAGGATGGAGCAAACATCGTTAGGCAGATAAATAAATAAATAAACAAATAAATATATATATATATACACCATGGAACCACTCCAAGGCATACTTATACCATAAAACCATAGGTGAGGCAAGGAAACTCTGAAACTCAAAAGAATCCGATCCTTGAAGCCCGAGATGTTGAACTCACCCCACGAAGGGAAACACACGTTCTATTGGAACCATGAACAACAGAAATTCGGGAATCAACAAACACACAAACGGGCGGCTTTGAGAACTATTACTAATTTCTTTATTTTTATTTAAGAATTGTGTGCACCTTTTCAACGATACCTCCAACAAGTGATGACTAAACCACCCAAACTCAGCTGCCGAATTTGGCATGGCGATGCAAGCGTAACCATTTCATTTGGGGTTGACGGACCAAGAAGGGAACTCCGTTGGCTCATGTCCGTGGATTTTCCCCCTCAGAGTTGGACAACTGACGAAACTGAAACCCAGAAGGCAAAACTCACGACAGAACACAAACACATACACACACACATATTGCATATGTTGCTTCTGACTTTTTCATGGTATATATATATAATATACATATACGGGTATACATACATAATTCTTGTCCACCGAATATTGCTTAGGTGTCACGATGAGTCGCGAGTCAGACCGAGCGGCTCCCAAAGCTCCCACCGCGAAGTTGCGCAGATCGCCGAGCTGTAGGTCACGAGGCTGGGCTGCAAGAACCCGGCGCGGATCTGGGACACCAGGACCAGGGCATCTTGCCACCGGCCTCGTCTGAATGACAAGAGACACCATCCCCGAGTCGAATCCCTTTCGGCTTATTCCAAACACCCGGAAATGCTGGGAAATGACCTGGGCTTCTGGGAATGGGAATTGGAATAACCAGAAGAAAAACCATCCCCGAGTTGATCCCTTTGAGAAACCATCCCCGAGTTGGTTTCGAATCTCTTGCGGTTTGTGCCAAACACCCTCTGCTGGGAAATGATAGTGGGTATGTGGCTAAGTGCGATCCCGCTTCATCTGCAGAGCTGGGGTGGGCACATGCTTGGCTTAGATGGCTTACCCAAATCCCCAAAGGAACACAAAATTAGTATGCGTCAAAGTAAGGGGGTATCCCAAGAACGGTGGTTTGCTTGCTGGCTTCCCTAACAGACCTGAACAAGGACACCCTAGAAAAAGTTGGAAAGCTTGAGTATTTCCTCTGGACGGCTCTGTTGTTGCAGAGCGGGGTGGTTGTAAAGGGCAGACAAAAGGAAAGCCATCTGGGGGGCCCCCAGCTTTGATACATACAGCGGATGGTTGCAAAATCCATTTTGCACCACGAAATGAAACCATGGTCCAAACCATAACGCTTGTTGGTAGTTGCAGCGAATAATTTCTAGGGATTTTGAGGTGGTGCAGGATTCCGTCCATCCACAGTATGACTAATTCGTCACTTTCAAGGGGCACCCTTGACAAAAGATAGGCCGCAAGACAGGCCTCTGCTGGCGCAGGCGCTGATAGCGGCATTGAAGAGGACGATATTGAGTTGCAACAAGGAGTCCTTGCTAGTGGCCAAGGAGAAAAACAAGACCTCGAGCCTTGCTGTGCTAATGCAAGAGAAGTTTGGCTGACCCGAACGGGGAGCAAAAAAAATTAAACGTTCCACTTGTTGCAACTGGGCTTCTTGTGACTGCTGCAGAAGGGCCAACGCTCTTTCCCACTTCTCCCCTTTCTCACATGCACTGATGGCAGCTCCATAGGTACATGCATCTGCCCGCAAGCGGCGGCTTAGAAGACGCGCTAAGATGTGCAAACTGAACTGCCACTTGCCGCCTTTCTCGCCTTACTTGCCCGGTGATTTCTCGTGGGGGAAGGGGGCACCTTTCGTTGGCTGGTTGATGTCCAAGGGGAACTCACTGAAACGAAAAGAAGAACAGGTGCCAATAGAGAACTGGTCACAAGAACTCATCGCAGCATTGCAGGCAATGGTATTTGCTTGTAGGCAGCATGCGCCAACCATGTCCAGGATCGTAAGGGCATGTTGCCACCTTCGCTGCTTTTCTTGTGAGCTGATAGCGGCGCCATAGGTTGCAATAGTTGCTTGCAGCGACCAGGTGAAACACATTGCAAGCAGCTTCATAGTCATCGCCCACCTGCCAGTCAAAGAGCTAAGCAAGGCATTCAATGTGATGGTGTTGCCTTGCACTGCCTGAGCTGACAGCGACACCAGCAAGCCTAAGGAGGCTGGCCACACGTCGCGCTTGCCGCAAGCACTGATGCAGGTGCTAAATGAGATCACGTCCCTTTGCAAAGCGCCAAATCTGGACAACAAGGCAACACTGCGGACCCATGAACCCCCTCGCTCACATGCGCTCATGCCAGCATTCAGGGCCAGCTCCTGAGTCTCAATGCCCTTCACCACCAAGTCCAGCAATGTCCTAAGGCCCTGTTGCCAACGTTCACCCCGCGACGAAGTGACCAGGGTATTCCTTGGTAGAGCAAAAACTTAAATCTTAGCAGTTAAGTGGGGATTTCCCACTAAACCACAATAAGCAAAATGTAAAATGTGTCCCAACAACAACCATGATTCAGGGCAACGGCGTTGGCCCGCACCCTGCCGCGCGTGAGACTTGCCAGCACTTGGCAGCAGGATTCCCAGCGCTCGCCCAGCTGCCTGGCTGCCGCGCCTTGCGACACCTCGTCGGCTTGGAGGCCCACCACCCCAAGTCGTGCCGCAAGATGCAGGGCCAAGGTCCAGCGCTGGACCGCTGTGATGGCCAGGTTGTAATGATAGGTGCTGCATTCCAAGCCGCTCTTCCGCTCTGACAGCAACTGCAAGCTCTCCAGCCATCCAGGTGCTTTGGCGCGGCTGGGCATAAGTTCTCATCTGCCGAGGAGGGCGCCGCCCAAGCACCATTGAGACAGAACGCTGTAAAGATTCAGTCAACAACTTGGGGAATTGCTTTGGGCCACCAGCGAAAAAATCAAGCCCCAAGCTTTCCGAGCTCCGCCTGATCACAATGTTTAGGCGCTTTTTAATGATTGGAACTCAACGCCATGGACATGTATGGATATATGGCGTTTATTTTGAGTGCCTGTTTTGGGCTGGCTCAAGCCAACAGGAACATCACCATGTTGGGGGGGGGGGGGATGTCAGCTGGGTACCTCCCTAGCATGGCACACCAATCTCTCAGCCGGTGTTTGCCGCACGAGCGCCATGTCCCCAAGTCCCCAAGTCACGCCCGTCGCACAGGCCAGCCTATCTGGTCAATGATGCGGAGCACTGGGTCGTCACCTGCCTGGTCATCTCCTGCACACGCACCCGCACTCAAGCGCCACATGCAAGCACGGAACCCAATTGCAGCTCGAAGGTTGATGCAAAGCTGTGCACATCCCTTATGCCGAATCGATTGTCGGCCATGACTGAAATCCCATTGAACTTGTGTCGTCAAAACTTGCAAAACAAAATGCACGCGTGGAATCATGAAATCCGGCCTTGATGCTGACCCATCTTGCCAAAGGAAATCTACGGTCAGCGGTTGACAGCACGGGTTCCACTAGCATGTGCCCATGCACAGTGTGCGCCACATGTGTGGTATGCTCCCACGTCTTCGTCAGGTGCTACAAGTGCCTAAGACTGACAGGTTTGATGTTGAACCTGCCAAAGCAGGAAGGATGAGTGCTTGCACATCTGCACCTCGCCGGGGGTCGGGGTTGGTTGCACGGCGCGTGCCCGCTGTGACTCGGGAGGTGATGCCTTAAGACAATGGCTGGCAGAACAAGTCAGCCAGCGAGTGCGCATCTCTTGTGGGTATCATGTGCGGAATAGTCAGAAATCAGAAAGAAAGAGCCGAAGTGGATGAGGTGCATTGACTCCTAATCCCCTGCGAAAGTGCTCACAGTTCACGGGCAAGGCAGGTTTCTCGCCCACAGAATTGGCGGCATGTTGGTGCTCATTGAAGCCGCCCCAAGGAAAGACCTTGGTGAACACACCAAGCAACAAAGACTGCGCTAAACTAAGGGCCCAAGCCACGGGACAACCCCCTTGCACCCAGCGCCACATGCAGATCAACTGCTCTGCTGGACAATCCCGTCAGTTGTTCGCCTTCGCATGGACCTGCGATCTTTGTGAGACCTAAAGTCATAAGCATCAAGCCACAGCAGGGCACCTGTACAGCAGCCACATCTGACTTGCCCTTGCGACCTGAAATGTCTGCCAGCGTCTGTCCGAGTCACGACTCAAGGCACCAGCTGGCACCGGCCCTGGCAAACTTGGTGCTGCCCCCCAAACAGAACTCCTGCTCGACGGAGAGATAAAAATATAAAAGGCAATGGCTTTGCTTGCTGGGGCTATTAATATACATCAAGGCCTCCAAATAGGCCCCAACTCAATCATCGGGAAAACAGGTCACGCAGTGCCAACTTTAATTTGGGCAACAACAAAAAAAGGCAGGAGCAGCCGGGAGCTGCCAAGGGTTTGTCCCGGGGAAAAGGGCCCAATGCCCGCTTCATATGAACACATATTGGGACCATCGGCTTAGGGGAATTTCCAAAGTAGCCCTCACCATCGCACTATACCTCAACTAGGCACAAATCGCAAAGGATTTCCAAGCCCATCGCGCCACCGGTTCCAACTCCCGGGAATCCCTCGGGCGAAACCGGGGACCCGACCGACCACGATCCCCGCTTCGAAACGCGGGCGCCGAGTGCCTCAGCGCTTTGCACGTCCGTTGGCCGCCGCTTTGGGCTGCACCTCTGCTGCCTGCACCTTGTGCACCAAGACCTCGGAAACTGGCGTGCCCAAGCCCCAGCGAAACGTCGAACCTTTGGCTGAGGAAAGCCCCAAAGCCAAAGGCCAACAATGGAAGAACGCAAACCGCACCTGTCCTCTGTTTTCCCGTGAGTCGACCTCGTGGAACTTGTGCACTTGAAAACTGGCGCAACAAATGGAAGCTGGAAGCACATCCCGACCTTGTCGGAAAGAAAAGTAGTCCTCAGAAGGACCATTCACCCTTTCGAAGTTTGAGTCCAGCTCAAGCGGCTATGTTCAAACCCGGCCAAGAGCTTAGCACCCAAAATCATGAAAGCCGGACAAGGGTGGTTCCTGGGCGTGTTTGGGGGGGGTCCATCTAATTCTTCAGGGCAATGAGATGAGGCTAAAAACACGAAGAATGTCGGGTTCCCAAAAAGGGTGGCTCTGAAGTAGCTACTGGACAGTGTCCCAGAATGTGGTCGTTTGACAACCTGGGAAAATACGAGTTCACAAAGCATCTCGCCTGGTTGTAATTTTGGGGGGGCCTAATGACATTCCGTAATCTGCATAATCTGTGGGCAACTGCAGCACTGGCTAGAATGTGACAAGCAGAGAGCCAGAGCTATGTCAAAACATTCGGAAAGTAAAAGCATCGCCGTTCAATATTGGGGTTCCCCCCCAACCAATAAGTGGCAAAAAAAAGTTAGCCGTCAGTCTTGCGTGACATGAGATCTTGAGATCTAAAAAGCCAGCCGCGAGGGATTGTCCAAATATTAAGGGTGACGGGAGCAATTTGCTCTAGCCTTCCATGACAACGAAATTCCCCCCCCCCTCTCCCACAATCTTATTTTGTCAGAGGCAGGGACGGCTAAAAATCCAGCAGATCCTTGTGTAGCCAGTTTCTTCGACGTCCCTTTGCTTAAGCCGGACCAAAAAAAAACACAAAAAAAAACAACCAGGTGGGAAATAAATAAGCCCCCTGGGGAAAACCCAACCATATTTCCAGTAAGTGATCTAGCTTCCCTTTGGAAAACCCAGCGGGGGGAAACAAAAAACCGGATCCTTCGCTTCACGATGGGCCCGGCTCCGGCCTTTTGGCTTGGCGCAGCTGGAAAGCTGAGCCGCCCGGCGCCTTTCGGGAGGCTGGGGTGGTTGTGCTCATGGCCCTTGCTCCAGTCATAGGACACCGCGTAGGCCTCGCTCGCCGGCCGCGCGCTTGCGCCGGCCGCGCGCGCCGGCCGCGCCGGCGGGTTTCCAACGCGGATTTTTTTGGGTTTTTGGGCTTGGCGGATTGGATTGGGTCAAAGGTCTGCCAGCCCCTGGATCCCAAGAATGACCCATGGATCAGAGCTACACAGCTCGGAAAGGCTCATTTGACAGTCGCTGGCCTGCTACCATCTTTGAGGGATGGATCAAGAACAACTTTGGAGCTGGAAAGGCTCAAGCCGAGGGGCTGTGGCTCAAACAAAGGCGCCCAAATTGGGGACCCTGGTAAATGGACAAGGCCCCCACATTGGGGACCCTGGTAAATGGAAAAGCAAACTCCAAGCTCCCCTCTTTAAACAAAATGAGCCACACCCAGGCAGGGGGATCTCGCCGTATCCAGGCTTCGGCCGCCAGCCGCACCGAGCTCTAACCGCCAGCCAAGCTGCATACAAATCACCGGGTGCCTGGCGGCCATGTCGGGCAGCAGCTGCTGTGTGTGTCTGTTTTGTAGGGTTCTGTAGCATTTTTTTAGGTTGGCTTAAAGGGAAATCAAAAGGACAACCACCATTCTTGGGGTCCACTATTTTGACACATGAACTTGGGACTCCCATTCGCGTGACCATATGTCATGTTGAAAGGGAGTCCCTCGACATCACAGAACGTGGCCCTAAACCAAATTTTCCACAACTACGGGTGGGCTAAACATGTGGGGGTAGATGGGTGTGCTCAAAATTGGGGATGCCCTGTGTGCAGGGCTGAACTAGAAGGGTTGGGGTCTGACAATCAAAACATGCCCAATCTGACATGTCTGAGCTCCTTTTTGGTATGGGTCTAAATCCGTTCCAACGTTTCCACCACCGCAAGGGGGCAAATGAAGGGCTGAGTGGCTGCATAAATTCCAGGTGGTTTGGGGGCAGAATCACGGGGTAGTCTACTCCTGGTGGACGGCACTCTGTCGAATGGAAGCTTCGGCTATTGGGACCCAGGATTCACAAAGCAGTTGATGAATAACTAAGCTGCCCTCAGATGCCTTGCCAAAAGTTTACCTTTTAGTGGGTTAAATGGACCCCCACTAAACCATAAAAAGCTAAAACGCTAAGGAACCGGATAGCTGGGAGCCACCAAGGATTCACAAACGGGTTGATGAATAAAGAGGGACCTCGTACTGAGGGTATCCATAGCTCTTCCCAAAGAAGGTCTGAGATAGTCTTCTCCCAACAAGGCAGCTGCTTGAGTGGCTTCTGGACGCGCAGGCCATGTGGTTCACATGGAACCCAACTTCGTTCGTGCAAGGCAAAAAGGCGAAGGGGCCACTCTATTTGGGCTTAACCTAAAGGAACATTTTGCATTGAGCTGCCCAGACTGGACTGATGATCGAATTATAGTTCGATCCGGACTGACTACCATAACTCACCAGCTTGAGCAACCCCTAAACCTTCATCATGTGTGAGCTCGTATTGCCCACAGGTGCCAAGGGGCATTGAATTTGCCAGCCGTGATCGGATAGTGGCAAGAATTGAAAGCTTTCAGTCGCTGTCCTCAGCCGCGTGACTGCCTACGCGATGAGCTCAATCCGCACCAGGTTTTCTTTCTCAGAAACATGCAGCTTCCTAGATCAACTGCTTACCAAATGTCAAATCAAGATTCTAGAATAAACCATGCCCATCTTCAGCCGGTGCAAAACATGGGCAATTCACACCCAGTTTAGCTCCCCACAAGCGCCAATGCAAGCAAGGATCTGTTCTCCTTGTCCCAGCACACGAAGGTGCCATCACCACCGCAGGTGGCAAAAGTCCTCAGCTCCCACTGAACGACCATGCAGCACAACATGCTGCTCCTACGCCACCGTGCCCGGCACGCATGGGAAAAAAGAAAGAAAGCGATCAATGCAGCAGGAGTTCCCCATCTGCGGGTGGAAGTCAATGTCATTCACGGCGTAAATCTCCGTGTTGGTGCGATGGCACCTTGAACCGGGCATCCAAATTTGGAACGCCAACACCTCCCCCAATGCCATGCCTTAGGGGGGTATTCAGGGGTCCTGAAAGAGAATCCTCGTCCATTTTTCTCTGGGTGTCTCCAGATGTCCAGGCGCAATCCCTTGCAAAACACATCTAACAAGACCATCGAGGGTTGGGCCAACCGACTGTTTAGACATTGATTGAAACTTGGTGGTTAGGGTCTGGTTGTTTAAACCTGTTTTGGCAGAAAAAAAAGAAAGAAAACACAACCTGATGGAAGCCAATGGGTATGGTGACAGCTTGATACTATCCACGTGCCCATGTGTTAAACGTATCTGCACCCCTTGGGGAATATGAGTTGCACATACAAATTTTCATTCATCCAGAACATGCATGAATTAGTAAAGCCAAATTCCATCCATCAGTCATACCGGCCTGCACGTGCACAACATCGTCCTCTCGTTGAGTGGGGAAAAAAACAACGTCTGATGCACCCGGCAGAACACTGGCTTCTGATCATAGGTGTCCTTTTGGAAAATAGATGGCACTGGTATAAGCCAGGAATCGCCCTCCATTTTTTAGCCAAACCAAAAAGGACCACCTATGCTTCTGATCTGATTTTTTCTGCGTTCCGGGCTGCTTGAAAGCAAAGTTCTTGCTGGAGTCCTCGATGTACGCGATGGAGCATCGGCCCTCAACAGAACCCACTGCATACCCCGTCTTGTCCGGGAAGGCGCCTAAAGCAAAGAGCGGGCCAAAAGCTTCTGAGTGACCTGAGACTGTTCCTCTGATTTCGTGTTTTTTAGACTGGGATCCGGCCTGAAACACGATGGTCTGCCTACCAGCCAGATTCATGCACCTGGACCCTGTATGGCTGGCCTCTTTGGCCCTTATCTCTCCCAGGCGCAAATTGCGCGCGTCTGCAGCTTCAGGGCTGTCTGGCCCTGCTTGTACGGCTGCGGATTTTGCTGAATGGCCTGCAAATTATAGACCAGCCTTAGCTGCCATCCATGTTGCCATTCTGCCGCAAAGTTGTCATAACAAAGGCCAGGGGAGAACCACAGCCGGCCCGAAAAATTGATCCTTGGACCCAAGCTGCCCTCAGAGCTAGCGTCACTGCCGAGATGCACGTGTCTATCAGCGCATCCCACGACTAGCAATGGGAATTTCACATCCATGGAGTAGACTCCTCAGCTTCGGCCAACCCCCAAGCTCATCCGATGGCCAATGCCTCCGACCACCACAGCACCCGGGTTCCAGGGATATACAGCCACAAACAACGCCACCACAATCTGCTCCTTTTGCCCCTCGGACCCGAAACCCTCGATACCCTGTAGACTGAGCCCCGCAACTTCTCTGGGAATAGGGTTCCATGACAATCTTGAGGAGGGCAATGTTGACCCAGGATGAATAAGCCCCCTGGGTTGATTGATGCGGGGATGTCTCATTCAAGAGGGGATCTTGTTGAAACGCCCAAACTGGGACCCCACTCTCTACTAATCCACCACATATGCCAAAACGTTGTGACGGGCCCGAGGCCAATATTTATGATTCTTGACAGGCTTAAGTTGCGCTAATTGTCGCGTAGGCGATCCTGATCGTTGTGCATAACTATCAGTGTTCCTCAAGGATAGTTGGCACGTACCCCTTTGTGTACATCTGGCTCCAAACTAGGTAGAATTGGAGAGGCTATAACGCTATAAGGGGTGGAACATGTGAATCCTGATGGGAACAGAATCTAAAACATGCGGTCCGCTGGTTTCACTTTGACCCACCCATATCGTTGCAAGCCGCTCTCCGGCAACTGCAAGGTTGCCACCGGCGTCGGCTGCTGCAGGTTCCAGAAGCCTTGGCCCCGACTAATCTCGGTGTCGGATGCAGAATGGAAATGAATGGAACACGTCATGGAAGCTGATAGGAGGGTTTTTCGGAAGACCTGTAAGAAAGTTGAAAGGGCATGCAAAATACGAAGCCATACGCGTGTCTACCTGCCAAGCGGAAATTGGGGTCCAACTCAAAAACAAGTCCCTGCCCATCCCTACCTTTGACCACACTTAAACCCCCCCTGGAGACAAAAAGAGGCCGTGTTTGAACAGAAATCGACGGAAACCAAAAAGGGGCAAAAGGTGAGCTTGGCAATACTGTCTGCTGGCAAAGCGTCGAAGCGTCCGGTCCCAGCTGCCGGAAACGACCATGTTCATTTCATCTAGCGCAAAGACCTCCTTCACCGGACCATCGTGCTGCCCTGGAGATGCAAACGACGGTCAACAAAAATGACCTGCCGATCGAATGGAAGATTGGCAGGTGCAACAAGCCCTGAGGTTGAGGCCTATCTGCTGTTCCTGCTGCGTCTGCAGCACCTTCATCTTCACCTGCACCATTACATGCTTCTCATGAAGCAAAGATCTGGACAACCAGGAAAGAACACGACTTGCCCACTTTTTCCTTCAGCTTCTAGACTGCCTGGGAGTGTTGTACATCCTTAGCTGGGCAATCTGCAAACCCTTCTTGCAGCCTTACGCAGCAGAGTGCCTTGAAAGAATGTCAATAGTAAAGCCACCCCAGGGAAGGCAACCGCTTGGAGAATCCCAGGCACTCAGCGGAGCAAGATTGGGGCATGTGTCAAAACTAGGGCCCCTTTTCTGGCAAATGGGCAAGAGGATAGCCACACTCCCTTCCTGAGTGGATTGGTCGGAAACAATCCATACTCTTCCCTAAAAAAGAAGCTGCTTGAAAGTGATGCAACACATGGAGCTGAGGATGCGAAGGGGTTCCCAAGACTTTCCCAAGTGATGGGACGGTCACCAGGGCCCCCTATGTAAATGTCCCTGTGAACATCACTCCAAAAGGCGACTCACTTTAAATCGGCCAGAAAGGTGAGAAATATGGAAGACCCTGACCCAGGCCGCCTTGCTGAGTGCTAACTAGTCTGGAGAAATGACAAGCACCCTTGAAAACTAAAAAGCAAATCCGGGGTCTTGATAGCTGGTCCCGCCTTGTTGTCACATCCTCCGCTAAACACGCGCTGTCCATCCTTGGAAAAGGCGCAGCACAGCACTGGGGCCTCGTGGTTGTAAGCCATGCCTCGGCGAGAAGCTTGCCGTGGCTTACCGCTCATGGGCCCACAGGAAAATGTTTCACAGGTTTCAATCAAATCGCAAGCTTCAAGAGTTTCAACAGTTTCAACCGTGTCAAGGCCAAATGGGGCCTAAAGCCAAATGGGGCCTAAAGACAACAACACTTTGCGTTCAGAAAGGCAGCAAGCCAATGCTTACCCCTGGAAAGCCGGATTTCCGAGTCAGCCTGTGTCGCTTGATGACCCAGGAGGATTTGGGCATGCGCTACTGTGGGTGTCAAAGCCAACTCCGCAGCAGTTGGTATGGAAACCCAACGAACACTGGTCCTGGTAACTACGAATTCCCACTGGTGCAAAGTGTTTTTTGTTTTTTTTTTTTTTTCTGTTCACAGTATTGCTGAATGCTGACCTCACAAACAACTAGCTCACGAGCTGGGAGGTGCTTGTAAACAAGCGAGCAAGCTCCTTTTTGGACCACATCGCGGAAGGCAAGGTGGGCATGTCTTTAAAACCGCTCTTTTATGGAACTCATGTAGTTGCCCCGCAGGTTCCAATGTCTTCGCTAAATTCTTAGGCCAGGCAATGCAGGACGGCACCATAGCACCTGTGCACAGGAACGGACTGTTTTGGTTGACCAGCCTCCTGTTGGAAAGGGTGCTTGCTCGAGAAGCCAACCCGGCATGTTCCATTCGTTTGCTGCACGAGGCACGAGGCTGGATGTTCTGTGCTGTGACCTCCCATATTCTCACACCTGAGTCACAGGGCCGCGCTGTCGAGATCGACCCTCCGTGGTTGGGGTTAGCGTTGGGTTAGTGGGGAGGTCGAGCACTCCAATTGACGTCAGGCAACAACTAGAGATCCAAACACCCAGGTCACCCAACGGGAAAAAAAGCATCCTGGCAGGAAAGGGGAGGTCTTTGTTGTTGTCTTTGCTTGGGGGGGTTGAAGCAAGGGCTGTCTGCAACTGCGCACTGGAAAGCTAAGGTTAGCCTATTTTGGAATGATCTGCCCCGGATTAAACAGCCCTGATCTCCAAGGACTACAGCAGAATCAGCCAATACAAATCCACATACCAAACCAACAGACTCTCTGCCCACCCCGCATTAGGATAGCCCTGGATGCGTGACCCTGTCTATCCCTTCTGTTTTGCAGTGGCCCATTTGGACAATGATCGACTGGGCGGCCCTGGGACCCGACAATCCCAACAGTTTTATAAGGGGAAGCGCCCAAAGCCAGTACAGGCGAGCAAGGCGCACAGACAAGACAGCTGTGGGTGGTTGAATCCTTGAACACAAGTACTGAAGGCAAACCAAGAAGGAACACCATTCTGGTTGGTCGACACATGCCCGTGGAGGTTTGTCCAAGGCGCTCTTGTCCCAGGATCCACAAGCGAAGATGTTGGCTGCAGGTGACCACCGCAGGCAACTGATGCCGTCGCTCGGGCTCTCCGGGACTGGGGCATCCTCGCCCAATTTGTGGACATTCTCAACATTATGCACCGTCTGCTCAGAGGTTGACAAACCATGTTTGGTGGTCAAACCATGTTTGGTGGTGAAAAGGAAAACCCTGGGAACCACTCACTCAAAATGACCCACTGCTTGGTTTAAATGGGAAACAGGGATCCGAAAGTAAGTCTAAGTTCTTTGGTTAGGTCGGTCCGTTGAAGCTACTCGCCCAATGGAAGACCATGACCTCTTGGATGACCGACCTAGACATCCCCTTGCGGTCTCGCAAGGCCCGGGGCAGTCTCGAGAATTTGCTCTTGGAGACCACCGGATTCAAGCCGAAGGCACGGTCGGTAGGATTTTCGATGTTTCTCCTTTCACCACTCAACTAAAAGAGTCCTTAGCTAAGAAAAATCAAGTCACTTCAAGTGGAGTTGTTGTGTTGGTCCCCCAAGTCGAATCAACCACATGCTGTATACTGTAATTTCTGGCCACTATTATGTACCCGACTAAAACCCAGAGATCCACCAAACACGTATCTTGTCGACAAGCCAAAAAGGTGGATGCCCCCCTTTCAACTAGCCTAACAAAGGAAGTTTGAAATGTGGTGTCTCCCCAAACCTAAGCCAAAATCAAAACAACTTGCTTCATGTTGGTTTCCTTTCCCCCTCAAAAAAGATGCACTCATGCAGAGCGGTTGCCCCAGGCAAAAGAGAGAAACATGTGCAATGCCGGCCCATCTGTTTTGAACCTCACACTGCAACTAGTTCAATCGTGATCTCAGCGCAAAACATTCGAACCCCTTGCGGCAAACCCGAAGCGCGTGTCCTGGTTGGTGTTGGGATCCTTAATCTGCGGTGTGCCGCCGACGCCAAAGCCGCCGCAGCCACCACCGCATCCACCCCCGCCAAACCTGAGACGTAGCTGGCTTCTTTAAAGGGGTTTGCCCTGTGTACTACCGCTTTTGTTTTATGCTCCTGAAGCTCGTATCAGGTGGTGAGGTCTGTATTCTCATGTGAGCTCGTCATACTTTCTGCGGATTGAATCAGCATCCAAAGGCCCGGAAACAAAAGGTTCACCATGTTTTTTGGAACAACCATAGGCCAAAAAGAGAAACAGCATATTTGAATGTTGGTTTTGGATAACTGATCTGGTCTAAAGCATCGACTGTCTTGATGCCTGCTGATGTGCATGCTTGACTATAGAAATTGCTGGGAAATATTGAGCCTGAGATGGAATAATTAGACATAAATGAAGAGGGAAAGGAAAAGAAAAGAGAAGCGGCACTTCATCAGCCAGAAATACGGGATCCTCCCCCCAACAACGAGCCTCTCGGTGGTTCAAATGTGGGTAACATACGCTTACCCGGCAAGTGAGACCATATAGTACAGGTCATAATGACGGTCATTTTCGCGCACCAGCCAAATGTTCTTCTGCAAAAACAAAGATGGACCTGGCGGTAGATATCTAGAACCGAACTTAGCCCAAATGACCTAGAAGCAAACTCATGACGTGGTCATTCAACCCCTCAACCCACCTTCATCTCTTCTTGTCATTGTTTGAGTTGTCGGATGCCAAGCTGGGTGTCTTTTTGTACCCCCAACCTGGAGAAACTGGGTACCCTCCAAAAATACGCCACACCCAACATGGCAAGATGTTACATCCTGCAAATGCGCACAATATGTTCCAAGACCTGAAAAGAAGGGATCTGTCAAGGATCTTTACCATGGCTATTGGCCCGTGTTACCCCCGGAATCGGTGAGCTCGCCATACATTCTGCACATCTTTGCCCCGTGAAGCTCGTTTGGTCGAGTCGGACCAGTCGTTTTCGGGCGCCCAGCAGGCCCCCGCCGGTGTTGCCGAAGCCGTTTCCGAAGGGCGGCGTGGCTCCAAACATGGCCTGCGAGCTGCGCCGAGCAAAGCGATGGAGCCATGGGGGAGGACTTGGGCGCCAAGCTGAGGTCTTCCTTGTCGCCTTTCTTAAGAACGCCCAAAACAGAAGCTGAAGCTGTATTATCTGTTATTGCTACCTGCGCAAAGCGCAGCCCCCATGGCGTCCCTTCTGAAAAAAAGCTACCCTGAAAAGAAACAATCGAAGAGCCAGGCAGCAAGGTCATGGCTCTTAACGCTTGCTTGGCGCTTGATGGACCCTAATGGACACTAGGCAATGGCTCCCCTTTGCGACCTCTCACAATCAACGGCCCGGCCTGCTAGATTCGCCAGCAGCCGCAGTAAGCTTTTCAAGCAAGCAAAGTGTGAACGGATTGACGGCTCAGTTCAGTGTCGGTTTCCAGTACAGCAGCACCTGTTCCCCATCCTTCCCTGTGGCAAAGCAAGCTTGTGATGGGTTTTGGATAATCAGGCGATCCCACATCAGCCGTATTATGGGTCACTTCACACTGCATCCTGGCATTCAAGGATGCTTCATGAAGCAATGCGAACCTGCTGGTCATCGGCCCCAAAGGCCAATTTTCCATCCCACAGCAAATCGGTCCTTCTTTTGCCACGAGGACCAACGCAAATGCCACGCCGCGGTTGATGCCAATTCGCTTCGTGCCCCCTGCATAAACAAAGGTAGACCTCGCTCAGCGCCTTGCCTCATAACGAAAGGGAAGTTCTTGTAGGGGTGCTGGCAATAAATGATATTTCGCGACTTTGTGGCTTGCTCTTACCACAAATTCAATGAGAACATCCGAGTTGCCAGCACTCAGCAATCATGAAGGCTGAGGAAAAAACTGCTCAAACACAACTCTTGCTCACATTTTTCGGCAAGGAAAACAATGTGCATGTTGCATTCATCTCTCATGGCTACTACGGCTCCAGCAAAACACTCTGGGTCCAATTTTCAGGATACCCTTTTGCGGTCTGTTCTAAAAGGAAACCAAAAGGAAACCCATTCAGGGGGTTTCCCTTAAAGACACCCGCGAATGCACCAGGGCGAAGCGAGGTCCAAGGCCTCAACCGCGCCTTGGCGTCACTCTTAGTGGTGACGCCAAAGCGGAAAAGACTCGTTGGGTGGGACCCGCCGGGTGTTGGGTTCGGATAGGTGGCTGCCTGGAGACTACCTGGACCCTTAAAAATGGGGTCATGACCCCATGTTTCAAAGGGTCATGGACCCATTTGTTAAGGGTCATGGAGACTCTATCGCATTCTCCCTAACTGAACATTGGAGGCTTCATTGTGGTCAACATCTAGTGAACCACTTAACGCGCAAACTGTTCGCAAACTGTTCGCAAACTTTCAAGAGAGATCAAACGGCCGTCGAAAGCACGGCTTCTGCATGTTCCGATCCAGGCTCGGGCAGCAGCCCAAGCGTGTCTCACGTGCTTCACAGGCTTCCTTGATCGATACATCCAAACACCAGCTGTAAAAGGGGATCATCGAAATGTGCGAAGATTTGTGTGATTTGTGTGATCAAATCTTTGTGCGACCTAGCTGTACTTGTGGGATTGTGTCACCAGCAGCTGGCATCCTTCAATAATTCAAGGCACAGCTGCCAGCTGACAGGCATGGTCCCTTGTGTCTCTCGAGTCTCAGCTTTCACTATGGGCTGTAAAGGCCCATTCTGGGGGCATCCTTGGACCCCAGACTGGCCTCAACTTGCCGCGATCAACTCCGAGAGCCTGGGGATCAAGAAATAACACGAACCGACTGGATTTTGCATGTCCACGTGTTGTCTGGTGAGCTTCCAAACCACACATGATTAACCCAAAAGGGTTCCCTTGTTCACTCAGGGTTTCTGGGCGACTTGGAGTTGTTCTTCTCAGCCATGCACGCAGTGCAATCCGAGCGCCGGGGCCTGTCACTCATCTGCTATTGGCGAAAGTGGTGAGGTGGCTTCGCTGCACTCGCTACCTCAGAGGTCTCTGCCTACTGGTTTTGTCCCTTGCCCAACGGACGTTTTGTTTTCAAACGTGCCAGATCCAACAAAGTCTCGCCTAGCAACCACGCGGCTTGGCAAAGTTGCGGTTGTCCTCACAATGAACTTGGAAGACCACGCACGACCTGAACCTCAAGGACACCCAAACAGAAAACCAAATGGTCGCATCTTGTGAAGTCACTTTGGTCCTCCACGGTTCTCCCGTAACCTGGAGCTCTAAACAAAACTCCGGGACTTTTGCCCATTTAGTGGGAAAAGTTAAATATCATATTTTTAGCAGTTTCCTCCACTGACCTTTTGCTCAACCCCGAAACGGGTCCGTCGGATTCTGCACAGCTGCCTTCTCTCGCCTTGGGGCTTGCAGGCATCGAGCTGACGAAGTCTGCCAGCCAGTCATCTGTTGCAGGCATTTCCTGGGCCACCGCATCTGTTTCACGACGGGCCCACGCATTGTGCTGAGAAATGTCAAAGATGCCGGCTGTGAAATATGAGAGATGGGCCCGGCCAACTTCTTGGAGGCTTTGAGAAGCGGCCCAGGGGCCCAGGGGTTTCGGCCCATGTTCAATCTGAACACCTCGCATGCAAGAACTTGAGAAAAACGCCAGGGATGCCAAGGGCCGAAATGCATACAGCACGAGGTTTGGGCTGGGAATATTTTCAGTGAACCTGCACCATGGCATAGGTTGCCTTTTAGAAAAATAGATGACCCTGGTAAATGGAATCAAGCCCATCTAAACCAGTGCCTTATATTTGTTCAATCCCCACTAACCCAAAAAGGACACCTATGGGACTTTCGACCGGCCCCCTCGAGCCGGCCAAGTGTCCGGCTCCTCGGGTATGGTCCAGGTGACCTCCACTGCATCCAGAGGGCAGCGCTCGCAGACAAAGTTCCTTGATCCCCATCCCCGGCGGCCAAAAAACAAAACGCGAAAACGCCCAGGAAATAAACAGGTGGCGTTTGAAGTGGGCAAATGCGGCATGAGCCATTAAAATACCAGTTGGTCTTTGAGCCTTGCAAAAAGATCAGGTTTTGCTGGCTAGTCAGTAGGGGAAGTCAGGTTCCGAAAGCTTAAAGCTAAGAGCCACACAAGTGAACATGGAATATCCCCAACAACCAATGTAGCTTGGCGCGCTGGACGCGCGATGCCTTTCAAACTGCCGTGATGCCATTTTTGACACGACATGTTTGGCCGTGCTAGTTGTGAGGTGGACCCAGTTCAGAGTGCCCTGCTGTTGAGTGTTTAGCACTCATTCCCAATCCGACTGGTGGGGCTCGGGAATGAGCAGCTCAGCAGGCGCTGTTGGCAGAAATGAAGTGGGCGGACTTGGCTTTGGCTTGGTGCAGCTCAACGACCGGGCGCTGGATGCGCTTTGCGGCTTTGAAGGGAGGCCCAGAGATCCCGTTCGAGGGGAAGATGCCTTGCAATTTCTTCGGAAACCCTCGGAATGCTCAAAATAGGCCCTTCCCGGATTGGCCCAGTGGCCCTGGTGTGCACAAAGAGCTCTTTTTTGGGTTGGTGACCGTTCGTGGGGAATCAAAGAAGAAACCCAGAGGGTCCAAGTAGCTTCTGAGGAGGGTCAAAAGGGGTCTAAGTACATCCTCAGAAGGTACTTGGACCCTCTGGGAAAGGAGTTGTGTGGGTGTCTCACCGACTGAAGACTGGGCCCGGGTTGGTCGGAGCGGCATGATGCTCTCGCAGGCCGGGCGGGGGACAGCTGCCAGCGCACAGCTCCGGGGGTCGCCCTTGGAGTGGGCCATGAAGACCTGACTTGCTCGTGGCTCGTTGCGGAAATATGTGTGTGTGTGGCTCAAAAATAAGGAGCTAGGCTTGCGCAGGCTTTAGTCTTTGGTTCGATTTACCAAGGTGCCATTTTGGTACATTTATTTGAGCCACAGCCATGTCTCGGCAAGGGATTGGTCCGGCCAAAATGGGTGGCCGTTCCTTTCAGCTGTGACAACCCAGTGAATATCTAACTGTTTGCTTCACTTTTGAGCCGCTGGTAAAATGCAAAATGTATCCTAAGTCTACCCCAGACAAGGGAAAGTGCTACAACAGCCAAGCAGCCAAGCGAGACCGAGCCCGGTCCTGCCAATAGCTCTGGCTGACCGACAGATATAACGCTCCTCGCCAAAGGCGGTGCCTCCGCCGAAGGAGGACCCAAACGAAGTGCTGTGTTCCTGGGATGGTGCAAAAATCCCCTGAATGGTATATATATATATATATGTGTTTGTCAGGGCATGTGTGTGTGTGTGTGTCAGTGTGTGTGTGTGTGTGCGTGTTGTTTCTTTCTGCGTTCCTGTCTTTTTGTTTGGGGGGGGCAGTGTGCGTTTGGGGGGTGGGGGGGAGCTGGTGGTGAAACAAACTCTTCGCTACTATACATACATCCGAACGCTCATGTAAAATGTTGACTTCGGGGGGTTTCTGGAGGAACATGCTCTCAAAGACAAGCTCTTCGCCTAGATGAAGCTGAGTTGAGTTTGGAGAACCTGTGATGTCATCCTTCGCATGGGTCCGAGTCCTAAACCGGGCCAGACTTGGACTTGGAACCTGGGCTGGTTGAAAGGAAACCGCCCACGTAAACCGCACAGGTCGTGTGTTTCTGCCGGCTGCTACGGGACATTGAGGGCAAACCAACCAAGTCAGTCAAACCATGGCCAAGTCTGCCAAGGGGCGTCTGGGCAAGTTCCTGGCGAGGCATCCCACACCTGAAATCGGCCCCCGGAAAATGCCTGGGCTTGACGTTGGGCTCCTTTCGGCTGCCTTTTCAATACCAAAAGGAAAGGGGTCCGCCATTGTGAGAAACTCCCATTGGATTTCGCATGGTTCTGGTAACCCCTAGCTCACGGTTTCGTTCGGATGTCCAAAATCCAGCTGCTTCACACAGGGCTACAGTACTTGACGGTGCTTGAGAGCAATGGCCACGTGTTTCTAACTCATTCCAAGCTGCGCGCGGACAAGGGGTCCAGGACATTGAAGACTTCCAGGGGGTTCAGCGCCATGATCTCCCCCACTTTTGCGAGGAAGTAGGCGCAGGCTTCCACATACCTCCCAAGAGCAACTGCCATGAGACCAAGCTGAGACTTGGCGCTGCACCAGTCGCTGAATTATGGCCAGACGCTAGGGCCACAGATTTGGTGCGCCAACGCTCAAACTCCTTCGCTGGACCCACGCCTGATAGCAAACACAGGATTTAGTGAAGGGCATGGGTGTCCCTTTGGCAAATAGATGTCCCTGGTAAATGGAATGAAGCCAATCTAAGCCAGTGGAACCCATCTATCTATACCAAACGAACCGATCTTAATTGGACACCTATGGTGAAGGGACAACGGCCACAGCAAGGCAAACAGGAGGCAGCCCTGGTCTCAGTCCCTAAGCTTTAAGCCCGGGACCAGGCCGCGGGATCGTTGATGCCGACACCGCTGAAGGCGGTATCCAGAAGCAGTCGCATGGCAGAATGAATGGAGTGCTCGGAGGGTGAAACGTAGTTGGCCCAGCACAGCTCCGCAATGAAGTTAAAGAGAGCCTAGGTGGGGGGGGGGGGGGGGAATCACCTTGTCTGAGTCCGCGGATACAATTCAAACCATCCCGAACAAGCGATTGCCCCCATTTGAAGGCCTCCCGGTCTTGGAGCCAGTTACCGCTCCAGTAGGTAGCCAGGTAGTTTTATGGTAGCTGGGAGCATTTGGGTATGGGTCAAAATTAACCCATGTTTCCATTTACCCGGGTTTCATTTTGGAGTTACCCTATGTTTGACCCACGGCCATTTGGCCATGGGTCAAAATTCCGTACCCCCAGTGAACATCCCAATCCCCACTAAAATCCCGACTAAAACGGGCATCTACCCCAAAATGGGCTCCCATTGGTTTTGACCCAGAACCATTTGGTCCCATCCGTATCCTCTCACTGGACATCTCGTCCAAAATCGAGGCACCAGCACCTTCCTTCGCGGCAGGCATCCAGATTCCAGGTCTCGGATCTGGCAGGCCAGGGCCTGCTTCAAGGCAGAGGTCAGCGTCAGCACCTCCAATTCCAACGGACCCCGGAGAAAAAAACATGATCCTGGCTTTCGATCCCTGGTGCAATGGACTTCGGGAAACCTCTGAATTTCAATCCCCACCCTCTAAACTGCCTTGTGGATGTCAGGTCTGCCTGTTCATGTTCACAAAGGGCCTTTAGTTGAAACCCATACAAGTATCAGGGTAACGCAGCTCGTTCCCCTCTTGGGGCCTTGACTGAAAGTTTGCCTGCTAAAACATATAGCTCGATCCACGAATGCGATTCGCCGAGTTCGCCTCGGCTGAGCCCATCTGTTGGCATGCCCGAGTGGTTGGCCAAATGCGATCCAAATCCTTGATCAAGTGCCTGTGGTCCTCAGCTAGCTCGACTCTCGGAGCTCGACTCCGGCGCCCTCACTGGAAACATGAGCCAGGCCTCTGGGCTCCATCCAATGCGATTCACTGGACTTCCCTGAAGGGCTGTGGTGTTGGCTTCGCTTCTGGGTGCGGACGTTAACTACTCAGATGGTCTTTGGGTCTGGGCTGGAGACGCACTCATCGCCAACATCCCGCTAAGGCCTCAAATGTCACCAAAGCTGTTCATACCGGCTACATGAAAGTGGCGTCCTCAAAATACGCTCTAAGAACTGGCTTAAAGAAAAAACAACAAGGTAATTTTGAGAACTGATAACCCAGCCACTTGAAGGGACCAAATAATACCACCCCCGATTGCCCTTGCCTATGAGTCTCATCCCAGGCCGGGGTTGACTGAGTTCAGAATGGCTGAAATCTACATTTGGGTCAAAGTAGGTTGCATTCCCTATTTAGTCATCCCCTCTTAGCCACAAAGGTATCCTCAAAGGACCTGGAAATTGAAAGGTTCACCTTTTTGAACCTTGACTTCATATGGAAATCATGGAAACCAACAGCATACGTGTCCTTTTGGAAAACTAGATTGGCTTCCCCGGTAATTAAATGGGCAATAAAACCATCTTAACCAGTGGAACCCCCTCTATTTTTTTGACCAACCCCCACCGATTTGAATTGGACCAACAGGAAACCATCAGGTCGACCTTTCACTTGGCTGCGGCTCAGAAAGCCGGTACCAAAATGGAACCCTGGTAAGTGGAAACGTGGACCAAAACCTGCGGTTTGCCCCTCCGGTCGTTTAATTTTGAGCCACACCCAAATGGTCCATGGTTTGACCAAAGCCTTGGGCTGACGCCCAGCTAAAAATGACGAAACTGGGTGGGAAAATGGCACCATTCGGTTTTGAGCCACACCCACTTTGCTTTTTGGGGGGCCCAAACTTCGCCCCAGGCGGCCACCAGCTGCAGCGCAGCTTGGACCACCTCCGCGGCGGCCTCTCGCAGCTCCTTCTCCGAGGACACCGCGGGGAGGCGCCTCCGAGGTGACATCCGAGTTGACGGACCCTGCAGCTGGGGTCTTTAGAGGGAACCAGACCTCGGGTGTCCAAAAAGAAATCGACCCTGGACCTGTGGTTGTTTCAAACTCAGGAAAGAAAACCGAGGAAGTCTCATTCTTTAGGTCGAATGTTGAGCCCTGCCTATCCAGAACCACCTATCCGTTCCTTCGTCTGGCGGATCCAGGATGAGGAAATGGATGAGTGGATAGACTGGGGAATGAGAGAGATGAATGGCATGACAGATGTAAAGAGATGCCATTCCTCTCATTCCTTCACGCACTTCACTCGCCTATAGATTCCCAGCCCTTTATCATCCCACCTGCATTCTCTCGCCATAAGATAGGCCGGTAAAGGGCAACCAAAGGAAACCAAGCCCGTCCACCAAATGTTCTACCCTTGGATCTTTGCCTAGGCAAAGCCGATGGGCCTCATCAGCTCCTCCGGCAGGCCCTTCAGATCTCCAGGCGCTTCCTCCGGGCTGGCCACCAGGGAGTGCCGCGGACCTAAGAACTGGGGAATGAGACGAATGCGACGTGGATGGCTCTTGGGGGTCTCAGTGCATCCTCAGAAGGTACTGTACTTGGACCCTCTGGGACAGGGAGCTTCTCCGCCAGAATGGCTGATGTTGGATGTCGGGCCCTTGTATGTGCGTCTTCATATGGAAAGCTCACTTCCGCAAAAAAGAGTTTGAAGGTTGCACTTGCGGTTGCTTGCAGTTGCCTGGCCGTGTCGTCTCTCGTCAGCGACTTCAGCAATCCGAACTGCTTGAAACGGCCTGGGAGAAAAGAAAAGACAACGGTAATCAGGAATGCATGGGCCAACCGCGGCCTAAGCCAGGGTCGCCTTTGCAGCCACGACCCTGACCTCGGCAACATGCCTTGAGAGTGCCAAATCAACATCGCACGCCATGTAGCACCGCAGCAATCCACCCATTGAGGTAAGCCGCCGTCCGCCGCCCAACAATACAACCAACAAGCTGCCTGGCTTGTGTCAGTTCCAAGGGGGACTGTGTCAGGTTCTATGTGAACAGGCGCAATTGGGTCAAAATAAGCGGTCCTGTTTCTAGAGCAATCGAAGCAGTCCTTCAAGCAATGCCTAGGTTGGGCCAGCCATCTTGCCCAACAAAGGCATTGTTCCATATAGCTGCGCTTGTTACTCCCGCGAAATACATGCCCAATAGCTGCTCCAGGGTTTCTTAAAAAGGGGCTACACAAAAGCCCCCGTTCAAATCCAGCCTTTGCCGTGTTAAGCCGCATCCATATCCCCGCGGGTTGTGACTACGGACACGTGTCGCGGTCATGTTCGGCCCGAGGACTTCAGAATGGCCACCTTCAAAAGGTAGGATGTCAAAACAAGGGGGGCACAGGCAAAATGGACCTGGGTAGGGGTTGCCTTGTGGTTTCCCTGTGCCCTTGCAGAACTCCTGGTTGCTCCTTAGCTCCATAGCTCCCTCTTGAAAGACAAACATGGATACGCCTAGATCCACAACGGCCCCCTTCCACCGCTCACTGGTTTAAACGGGTACCTTTCGCATCATAAAAAAAGCCACGCCAATCCGTCCGAGTCGCCAATGCTGCGCCGGCATCTCAGGCGGCTTCGCATGGCGCTGGCCGAACCGCCCCCCCTTTTTGCTGGCTAGGGAATGAGTTGCAATGATCCCGAAGAAAAAACAAAGAAACTGCACCCGGAAAGGTCATTCCCCACGCCCCCAGGAAGTATCAGCAAGATAAGGCAACACATGGCCAAGCGTGGCCATACCTTCAACTAAAACTTGGCCATGCGTATGGCCTCGAGCTATGCGCCGGCCTGCCCACTAAAACAATACTGAAAACAAAAAAAACACTGGCAGCTGGTCCGAACACAACTTTTGCCCCACTTGTTCTAATGGCTCAACCCTGGAAACTCATGCTCAAGACGTCTGGCTTCAACTGAGGCTATATGTTCGGACGGGCAGCTCCTAATTTGCACTCACCTTCGTCATGCATTGACTGCGAAAGCTGGCAAACTAATTGCCGGCTTGTTTTGCCTTTCTTCCGTTCCTTCTCCTCGGCAAAAGCGCATCAATTAGTGCAGCGGAAACGCGTCATTCGCGGAACCGTAGCAGATAAATCACGGCTTGCTTGCGTGAGTACCTGCACTTCTTTGGAAATAAAATAACTGTCCTTGAGACACTTCTGCTTGGACGCGTTCGGTCCAAATACGAGCCAACATACCTTGTAACCCGTGCCGGGACCGACTATCTCCGGTGGCAGGCGGGGTTGCAAAAGATGACGGGCCAATCTGTACTGTATAATTCTGCCCTGCAGAACATGCTGCACTTGCTGCAAAAACCAAAAAACTAGAAACAGTGGCTCCGGTATCCAACGAAATCATCCAGATGCTTGTTCTGCAGGCTTCCCGCTGTGCCAGCTCTACAAGAGATTGCGAGTTCAACCTTCAGCCTCGCCAGCTCGCGGCGAAAGAAGCTGGGAAAATCTGTTCGGACCAGGTGGCATTCGTGGGGAAATTCGGGCCAGAGGGCACTCGCCAACAGGGAAGAAAGGAACTGCCTCCATGAGCGGCAAGGCGGTCAGCGGGGTGGCTTGGGTCGGTTCGGCGGGTGCCCAGGGGTCCCATTCGGTGGCTTTTTCCAACCCACACCAGCACCTCACACCCCTTCACCACAACCACATGGCTTGCGATGGCCCCAAACAATGACGCGAAAGTTATGACAAATCCCAGGCTTCCACATTAGAAAAGTTGAATTCGCCAAGCCAGGCGCCTCGCTTTTTGGGGCCAGCACACCTGCTCCCTGAGTAACCTGCCCGTGGGGGTAAGTTTGGGACAGGGGTGGCAAGTTGATCATCTTTCTGGGAACGCAACGGGGGCCGCTGCAAGTGCGGCCTTTGTTTTGGGGGTCCTGTTTCTTTCCCGATGGGTGTCTTGGGGGCCCGAACAAGCCTTTTTGTTTGGTTGGTTCCCGTTTCAAATCTTCGGAAAGGGTACCCTCAAAGAACATACCCATTCGGCAACTTGCAAAACTCATGATTGAAGGGCAACCCCGAGACCAAGCTTTGCCTTTGACTGGGAACATCAGAAGGGGCACCCTACAGAAACCCCAACGAGTAAAAGATTCCTGAGGTGCACCCCCAATAAGTCAAATGGCTCTTCAATCCACCCAAGACCACGAAAGCGATCATACCTTTGACACAAACATGGGGTCATCTCGGCAACGTTTCAGCCACCTCTGATGAATCACGATACATAAAAAAAAAAAAAAAAAAAAAAAAAAACATGGTGGCAGCTTAGGAGGGACTAGCTCTGTTTTTGCGGACTTTGCAGCAAACCCCACAGTTTTGAAAGAGGGGCCAGCGCCTGCTCGAAACGCTTCAAATGGAGAGCGTCTCCAGCTTGTCCAGCAAGTCTGCGGAGCACAAAGTCCAACACGTTGTTTAATGCAAGGGGCTGAAAATATTAGACCGAGGACTTGGAGGTACCAAGTTGCAATGAAACAAAAATGATCATAGAAGAATAGTTTGTAAGCCAATTACAAGCTTTCTACCTGGGAACAAATCCTTGGTCCAACACATTGTACAGCTTGTTGAGCTGCTGGATGTCGCAGTGGCCATGAGCCGATTGGCTCACAAATGCCAGCCAGGGCATAACCCGAACAGCAGCGTGATACTAATCCGAGTTGATTGGGACGCCGCGCTTAGCAAAAATGTTCATGCCCAAAGGGGAACCAGTTGCTTCTTACAGAAGTGTAGTGACTTCAAGCAACCCGCTGACTCGAACACGAGTCCTTGGTCCCGTTCACGTTCCGGAGCAGGTTCACCTGGGCAACCCCTTGCGGGTTTCTCTTTGACAGGGAGCACTTCTGGCCTTCTGAACTAAACAGCTGACTCCTACGCACATAGTATGCCAAACCGCTTTTCTAGAAAGTTGCATGCCACCTGGAATGCAACCTCAGCATCGGCCTGCCATCGAACTAACCCCACGGATGGTCCGTGCAATAGGGTAAGGACGCCAAAATGCGCAACCAAGTGGACTTTCTGCCAACTTGTTCAGGTGAAATGATCAGAGCCCTTGCAACGAGCACCCTTGAAACTGCAAACTCAAGATCCGAAAAAGGGTTGTTCCATCTGGGCCCTTGATAAATGCACCACCTGGGCCCCAAAAGTTGCCTCCCCCTTCCGGACCACCCTTGACCTCGAGACATGTCCTGCACCTGTGGTGCCTATGGTGCTGGCGCTCGCCAGGGAGGCGCCAGAAGGTCACCCGGGATGCCCTGGCCTCGTTTTGGGGGTGCCCTGGCCTCGGGTTGCTCGGGTTTCGCCATACTGCTCCCGAGAAAACAAAAAGAGCCAAGCAGCCAAATCACTGAAGACGCAATTCTGGATGAGAGAGTTTCGCCTTTCTCGCAGGTGCTGCCAAAGGCGCAGATGGCGTTTAAGGCGACTCCGACCTCTCCATCGTTGAGGCGAGCCACCTACCACCCAAATGCATCTCGAGTTTTTCGTCAGTTTTAGCATCCCTCAAATTTGAGATTTTAGTGTGTGTGTGTGTTTTAAATACTGCAACTCGCAAACCAGAACCACAAAAAAAGGCAACTGGTAAGAGAACTCAAAGGGTGAGCTCGGTTTGCCTGGTGAGCAAGCGATACAGTTTGGGCCCAAAGCCATCCTTTTGCGAATTGGGCTTGGGGAATTTCCACAAGAACTTCTGGCGGGTTCCTTGGCACCCAGAGCCCGAGGATGGCTTTTGGGGGGTCAAAAGGGGTTGTTCAGCGCATCCTTAGGAGGCACTTGGACCCTCTCGGGTTACGTGGCTAACAACATAAGCCACAATCAGAACATGGGTAGGGAAAACAAATGATGATTCTTTGCCATGGATTTTGGGCTGAATCACGGGCCCTCTTCAGGAATGTAGGCTGGTTGCCCACTGGCGCCCCTTCTGGCATTGGCATGTGGCTGTAACTGGCTAATCTGCCAAGTGTCCGGCAGGGCACCAGCCTCGAGTCATCCGCCGGGCCCTACTTGCAGGATACAAGCAATTCCCTTTATGTTTCGAAGAGGATGACAGCAAGAATGATAAAGCATTGGGACTGTAAACTGTTATTGGGGGCAGTCAGCTCTAAGCCAGACGCCGGTCTGTTGAAACGTGTGAAGAATTCAAAGACGACAAACCACCCCTCGTCCCCCTGCCCCCCCCCCCCCCCGGAACCCCGGCCTGGCTGGGAGGCGAACTTCTCGCCCGTCGTCTCCAGCGGGAGGCCGCGGTCTTCCGAGGTTCTGACCCTGAGACGGATGGGCGCGATATGGCGCGAATTTATTGCCACTCATGGAAAACAAGGACAAACCGTGAGAAACCCACTTCATCTGCTCGGGTGGATTTCCCTGCTTTTTTCTCCCAATGTTGCAGAGTGCATCTCAGGCCCCAAATGGCTGTTCAATGGCTGTCCAATGGAACACCTCGTCCCTAATTTGCTTCGCGATTTAGTTGCGGCTATGACTGGAAAAGCTACGGAGAAACAGCGCTCGACAAGACTTGAGCAGCTTGCCGCGAGACCTGCCTAGAAAAGCACCGAGCCTTGTTCTAGAAAATGCCCTTTGCTATTCTGCCGCTACATCTGCGTGATCAATTCCACAAGTGCTGCGCCCGTAAAGAACTCCGCCCCTTGACTCCACCTGAAGGGGCGCCCTTGAGCATGCCTGTAGGGTGCACCGTACAGAGCTTTATGCCTTCAACCCTCCGCAAACCGACCCACAAGATCACATTATATACATACGATTAAGTTAAGTTGCGCATGCAAGTGTTCTGGCGCGAGTTTTCAGGTTGAGTTGAACACGCGAGTCTGCTGGGGCAAGTCTTCCGGCACAGTCTCACGGGCGTTCATTCCGAGCAATCTCTGTCTCCCCTTCTATGACATCTCTCATCTCTCCTTGACTTGTTTTGCGCCATCTTATATGCGCAATCACTCCGGGCAATCTTTCTCGGTACAACCTCTCCGGCGGTTGTACCACCAAAAAACCTTCGCCATGCTTTCAGGAAGCACCTCCTAAAGCGTGCGTGCCTCTACAACATGATTTCTGCTTTGTCGTTTCTGCTTGGAAAATTCCGCCTGCAACTAGGTCCTCCAGTATTGCGAGGTTAGAATAAGGGTGCCCTTTTTTCTGTAGTCTATTTTAGGGGAACCCTCCCCCCAAACAAGAACCGGCAAAAGGTTCTGCACCTAGCTGGGGGACCTAGGCAAGCTGAGGGAAGCAGCCCACGTCCCCGCCTGTACGTAGGAGGCTGGCATCTGAGGACCTGGCTGGCCTGCAGCGAGGCGAGAGAGAAGCGACTCGCAAAAGAAGTCCCAAAGAGCCACGGGGCAAAAAGCTCAAGTGACCCTGGCAACTCAAGGTGGACCGCTTCGCGAGGTTGACCGCTCTAGTCGGAAACCCACCAAACAAACGGAGTTACACTCCCGCCAATTGACATGGAACCTGAATGGGGGGGGTCCTGGAAGACCATTTTCCTTTTACAGGGACCCCCTGACAGGCTTCATGTTAATTACTTGGTGGGAATTGGTGGGAGGGTAAAGTGAAATGCGCTGACTGATAGCTGAGACGAGCACGTCATAACATCCGACAGCCGCTCCGGCTCAGACACGCCGCGCCCAGCCCCGCAACAGAACCAGCTGCGCCCAGCCGTCTGCTCGTCCGACGCCTCTGCGGATATGCATGAAATCCTGCCCTTTGCAGGGTTTGCCTCTTGCCTTTTCCACTGAAATGAGCCGGATGTGGAGCCCCCTCGGACATGTGGATATCCAATGGAAGCTGCGATCGGATGCCACGATTCGTTGGGGCAATACATTGGCATTTGTCAACAGGACCTGGGCAAACCCTCCCAAAAGCCCGTTTGCATCGCCAAAGTCCTTTTCAGAGGGTCCAAGTACCTTCTAAGAATGGACTTAGACCCCTTTTGACACCCCAAAAGCTATCCTCACAAGGTACTTGGACCCTCTGGGCTTACTGCCTGAGGAAGCTTTGTTGCCGCTTATGCCCATTGTTGCACGCTGATCGCCTCCGGCTTCGTCGCCAGCAACAGCTTCAGGTCAGACAACTCCTTGACACACCGCACATTGACTTCCACACCATCATCGTCCGACCTCAGCACGGCGCACCGCTCACGCGCAAGTCAACACGCGTATCGAGTTGGTGTGCGCGTCTAGCGTTCCATCTGCCAGGAACCAGTGATCAGTTTCAACGTTCCTGGAAACAAGTGTGTGACTTGAAGCCGCCGAGCAAAAGCAAAAGACTGATACTGTAGTGTTTGTGGGTTGAGCCCGTCATTGAAGGCTTGCATAGCCCTGACGTACCCCTTATTTACTTCACATTTGGGGCATGTGCCTAGCTGGTCCAGGAGATTTGTGCCGAACCTCTTGGACACCTCCAGTCATAGCGGAGTCTCAGAAGCACTCACAAAAACGCAGACACGCCACCCTGCAAACTGATTGTCTCTGGCATTGGCTTGCCAATGCTCGGGGTCTTCCGGATCCAGTGCATTGTCGACGTAGTGGACGCACTGCTTTTCAAAGTCGGTGATGAACCTTGGCTCAGCGAGTTGCTCTGCTTTGACTTAGCCAGGACTTAGGTGTTACCTGAAGAAGGGCATATCCACAACTGCGCATTCCCCTGGTGGCTTCCAAGTCTAGCATCATCCAAAAGGTCCGAGTCATCCAAAGGTGTCTTAGAACACCCCCTCGCATTGCACGCTGATATTTGCCCGCTATTCAACAAATGGGTGTGGCAGTTGGGGCCTTCTTTTTGGGTTGCTTGAAAGGAACCCAAAGCGAAACCACCCATTTTGGCCCTTCGCACATTTTAGAACACACGTATGCCATGGAAAATGTGTGCGCCGAAACAATAGCTGCTCATCGCTACACCAAGGGCGCCTACTAAAGGCACCGATCGGACCTGATCTTCCAGGTGTGCGGATTGGGATGTTTATGGCGCGGGGGAAACGCATTGGAGATCGGGGGACTGTTTTGAGACAATGCGAGACGCACACCATTTGGAAGACGCAGTGCCACTTCCTGCCAGTTGGTCGCCCTCCTATCAGCGACCCCACTCGAAACGCCACCTTCTCTCTCGCTACGTCGCTGGCGCCGTCTCCTGCAACCACAAACTGGATGGTCTAGCGGGAACGTGGAAGATGCAAAACGACTTCTTTCCAGTCTAGGCGCTTGTCCGGGGAATCCTGTATCCCCGCTTCCCACATTTCCCTCGTGGGTCCATTGGCTTCTCTTGTGCTTTTGGAGTACCTTTTCAGGTTGGTCTAATGGGAAGCCAACGGGAAACGGAAATCCATTTTGGGGCTCCAATGCTTGCTTTGACAGAGTCTCACTTCCCAGGTGGATCGGCCAAAAAAGTCAGAACTTCATGTTTATCACTCAAATGGTCTTTCCAAAAGGCAAAAAGTCCGTCAATGCAAGGTGTGAGCAGTGGGTATGGTGGAAAGGCAACCCCTCCGGAGTCCGAATCGCCGAGGCGAGGCTGACAGCTGAGGCTGGCACACGGGCCTGGGGCCGACACCCTTCTCATGACAAGCGTAGCCTGAGCTCTGACCCAGCGACGTGAGTGTCGTTTCTTGGGATCTAGTCCTTTCTGGGGTAGGTCTTCCCATTCCAAGTACCCTCCGATGGCCTTCTGGGGGGGGTCCAAAAAATCGGGTCGTTCAGCGCATCCCTTAGCTACCAGGGGACCCTGTGGGTTTTGAAACCAAAGGGAAGCCACGGACGGTGGCTCACCGGCAAGCCGAAGATTCCTTACACAACTCTCACGCTCAGCCAACACCGGTGCTTCGTCCATGACGCGCGCGCGATTCTACCGGACCTCAAGCTTGGGGCTTTCCGGTAGCTGTGCATCCCCCCGCTCGCTCTATCTCTCTCTCTCTCTCTCTCTCTCTGTTGCTTTAATTGTTTTTGTTTTGTTTTTGTTTGATTATTATTGTTATCATTATTGCTATTTGTGAACTTTGGTTTGGAAAGTCAACGGAATTCCAGGCATTCAACTCGGAGCTCTCAATTCTAGGGACCCCTCCAGGTTGACTTGTCCTTCTCTATGCCCAGCATAACACATCCAGGTTGCAGTTCCCTTCGGGATCCCACATCTCCATGTCCACAAGTCCAAGACTTGGTTGCTGTAACGACCCCTCTGCAAAAAGTGTTTAAACGTTTTGTGGCTGTGGAAAACCCAATGGAAAACCCAACGCGTTGTTTTGTTTTCCCAAAAAGTTGAAGTCTAAAGATCCAACCCAATGGCAGCCAACAAGATCTGTCAGGTTTCGGGACCCAGCTCGCTCACAAGACCCTCGCCAGGCGACCCCAGAAGCGCTGATCCATCAGCAGCGGGCCGCTGACACAAGTTGGCTTTCCTCGGCTCCCGGATCGATGTGAGACGAACACCCTTTCTCCTGCTACGTTTAGAGATTCCAACAGGTGATAGCACCTTTTATCATGAGCATCGATTTGAGAAACCAAAGGAACCAAAGGAAACTAAGCCAAAGCTAGATCAACTACATGTCCTACTGTGCATGGCTGCGAGATCCCCTCGCCTCCACGAAATGAAGGCATGGGGGAGAAAAATAAATCATTGCGGCACTTACCTTGGGGAATGGAAACGGAAACCAGGATTTCTGATCGTTGGTGCAGGATTCCGTCCATCCACGGTATGAGTGTATGGAAAAATCAGTTTCGCACCAGTTGGCCGTTTATCTCAGCATTCAAAAGGGTCCCATCCACACTGGCGCAAAGCGGTTTGTATGCAGGGAAATCCGAATCCAAACCTTGTGGCCTGTTGGTGGCTTGCGAAAGGTAAACTCTTGGCTGGAGTCCGCCAAGCAAGGAGGCCATTGCAACTCAAGGAATGGTCCGGCCTGTCTGGTGATGGTGTAAACGTGAGGCATGATGACTCATGAGGTCGATTCCCCCCTGCCAGCCCAAAGGATAAATCTCAACCTAGCATTCATGACCCCTCCAATAAAACTTCAATGAGAGAACCAGTGGTGCAATACTCCAAGTTTTAAGCCAAATCTCCCCAAGTCCGGCTATCCCGGAATCCTCATGTCCAATTCAACAGTTGTAAAAACCAACCAGCCGCTTTAAACACATTCTGAAAGTGGTCTTTGTTTTCCCATGCCATTTCCTTGCTGACATTTCTGACCTTGGCCCCTCTCTCCTATATAAATCCGAGGTTGACTTGACCCCAAAACAGCACAAGCGACGGTAGATGCCGCCCTGTATCAAAGTTGAGTTGGGACCGTCCCCCCAAACCACAGGCAGAGAAGTTGGGGTTCTCATAGACTTCTCACCGCAGTGCATGAACTCAGCATCTGCTCCCCAAATCAGGCCAGCGCGCCAGTGCGCAACGCCTCGACCGTTGTGCCAAGACCGCCGTGCACGATGAAGCAGTCTATCTCAGGGAACAGCAAACCAAAGTCGACCTGCGGACAGCGCCGGGGAGGCAACTTCCGATTTCCCATCCCCTGAGTTAGGGCCCATTTGAGTTCGTCACCTTCGGGCTATGGCGCAACCCCCCAAAGATTGGGAAACAGCAGAAAAAGGACTCTTCTGGCCAGGTTGAGAGAACAAAGCACTACTCCTTCCGGCGAAATTTATCTCCACCTCACGCCATTCATCCAAAACCTCCATCCACCTCACCTTTTTTGTTGGGCCAGTCCGGCCACCAGCGTGGACATGGTCTAGATCTATCCTGCCGCTCGCACGTGCGCCGATCAGATCGGAACCCCTTTTCCGACCAATTCATATAATAGATGAATCAAACAAACATATTTGACATTCGCATATGTCTGGTCAACAGGAACTATAGGGAGTGGCACCGGGCCCAAGCGGCCGCTTTGGCTTCGAAGAAGGTCTGCAGCTCCTTGCATTTCTTCGCCGCTTCTTCCAAGTCATCTGGCCTGCGCACCGATTCTTTCCGCTGATACTTGTGCCAGAGAAGCCTTTTACCGACTGCCCAGGACCTCACTGCCTTAATAAAATATTATATGATTGTTATGTTTGTCAATAGAAAATGAAATGTTCAAAATGCAAAAACAGAACAGTTGTTAGATTAGCAGTTGATTTCGATGAGCATGCTGTGATTTCGAAACAGTGGGAAAGCCAAGCGGGGAGGGGTCCTGGGTGGGTCATTTTGGAAGCTTGACTCAGTTCCTGAGTGGACCGGCAAGCAAGACATGACCTTCTTGTCTACACACGTATGGTCTTTGCAAGCAAGATTGACTCTTTGGTGAATCACAAAAACGGTTCCCAAAGTCTTAACTTTCTCACACCTAAGATGGTCTTCCCTAAGATGTCTGAAAAGGTCTTCCCAAATAAGGTCTAAACTTAACCGTTGGTTTGCTGCTAAGCTGGTTTTCCCAAAGAAGGCAGTCTTTCTTGGTTGCAGCTAACGCGGTCTTCCCAAGGAAGTCGGCACTGTTGTTTGCCATTGAAGTAGTTGTCCAAAAGAAGTCCGAACTTGTTGGCTACTGCTAAAGTAGTATTCCCAAAGAAGCTTGAACCGTTTGTTTACACACTCGAATTGTATTGCCAAAGAAGCCAGAGCTCTTGGTTTGCCAATGAAAGGTCCGCCTGAAGGAGTCTGAACTCTTTTTGTTTGCGGTCCTCCCAGAGATGTCTGAACTGCTTGTTTCCAACTAGAACGGTCATTCATGGTCATTCCAAAAGAGTCTGAAGTGTTTACCACAAAACGAAGAGGCTTGAACTTGTTGTTTGCACTCAAACCGTCTTCCCGACAAAGCAAGAAGCTGGAAAGTGAGTCGTGAGCCAGGATATCCGGTCGCGCGGCCCTTGCTCGATGCGGCCCACGTAAATCACGCGCACCGGGAACTTGCAATCCTGTCAGCGCAAATCTCAGGCCAAATTAGGCTTCAGGGGACTTAGTTGTTTAGCCTAAACCATTGTTTCCCCCCCCGCTGCTGATCGACTCAGAACACCGAATGCGGGTGCAAACCTCAAGAACATATCCCTAAAACAAGATATGCCAGGCTGTGCGACATCTGACGCAAATCGGCTGGACAAATGATTTGGTAGCCACACCTTGGCCCCAATTGAGCGAAAGGCAAAAGGAGCGTGTTGAAACACTATGCTCAAGACACGAAAGCTAAACCATCTGCAGGCAAGGCACTGCGATGATCTTGAGAATGATTCCTCAGCGATGCGCCCCAACCCCCAAGAACGAAACACAATTTCAACGGCCCAAAAGGTGTTTCTCAAGATGAAAGCGGAGATATAGAGGGAACCCCTGTCCCAATCCTGCTTAAGTAAGCAGTCTGTCACCAGCACCAGTACATTCACAAACTCAGGCCGCTGCGCAAAAGGGTCCGGCGCTGCACTGGCATACTGCTGAAGCTGATGAGGCAAAGCTTTGCACCTGCTTTCCTGCGGTGCAAGGCACAAGGTTTCACTGGAAAACGTTTACCCTCCCACCGTTTTCACATGGAACCTGACGTTCGGGACAAGGAAGCTGGTCCAAACCAGGACCCCCGAAGGTCGGGTTCCATATTAATGGGAGGCTAGTTCACACATCTGAATTCGGGAATCCCCAAAAGACACCCCCGCGGATCGGTCTGCAAGCATCGCGCAAGCAAAGAGCGAGGCGCGGCTCCTGAACCCCTAACCGCCTGCACAGGCTGAAAGTGGATGGAACAATGGAAGAATTCCCCTTCTGACAAAGCCGAGGGGGACGAGTAGCCCAAAATGAGTTGATGTGCCAGCTTCCACCCAAAAAGGCTGCTCGCAAACATGTTTGTCACACCGCGAGGGTTCTCGCATGCATCACTGCTGTCTGCAGCTTCTGAATTACAGGCTTCTGCTACAGCATTCTGCAACAGCTACCTGCACCGCGTTCTGACAAGCATTTGGAAGCCATTCGGTTGTCCCGTGTTCTCCCTTGATTCATTCTCCTTCTGTATGGTTCTCTCACAACTCATAGAAACCAGCCACTGCAACTTCTACAGGAAGCTTGCCAAATACCGGCCAACAAGTTAAAAAATACAAATCTTTGCGCAGCCGTCAGAAATTGAGGCCCCCAGTACCCTGGATTCAAACCCCCAGTTACAAAGGAGAACCTATATACGATTAATAGGGTGGTGTCCCACCTCGTTGATTCACCCAGGTTGACGTTACAACCGAATGGGAAAATGCTAAGCCACTCCAAGCACCTAGGGGTAGCTATCTTCGCCCTACCCCAGACCGCCAATGGCCAATAACCTTTAGTTGGTACTTCTCTTTCTGTCGCGGACACTCTCTTCCAAGCGACTTTTGGGGGAGAAAACCACACAAATTGATTCATTGAAGGTCTGGGGCTCCAGCTACGCCCCAGGTTCAAGTTTTGGGCTCTGAGCTACCCTGAGCTACCCTACCAGCTACCCTGGGGGGTAGCTACCGCTCCAGGCTTGGGCCATCACTCAGCTTCTCCGCTCGGTGCGTCTGCCGGAAGGCCAGGGCCGCCACCATGCCCGCGGCCAGCTGGGTGGCCACGTAGGCGAAGGCGTACTCGGCCCCAGAGCCAGACCTTAAGGCCAGTTCGGGGGGAACAGTCCTAGGTCCGCCAGTAGAGAGGATAGAATCAGGGTACGCGTTCTTTTGTGTTTGTTGTTTCCTCTTTCTTCTTCGTGTTTTTTCCTTGTTTGTTCTTTCCTGTAGTCTATTTTAGTAGGGGAACCCTCCCCAAAAAAAAGGGGAGAGAAGGGCACTACTGGGGGACCTAGTGTCTGACATCCGCCGAAAGTCGAAACATGTTGGTGCAAACCGACAAGTTGAAAGTCCGGAAACTCAGGAAAAACTAAGAAACTTGACTAGAAATGGGACCTAAAACGGAAAGCTAGAAGGTCAAAAAGCCTAACATGCACCAGATATGGGACCAGGCATGGACAGTAAATTCCAGAAACCGCTTTAGAAGTGGCTTTTGTGGATCCACCCCGGTACAATGCTAAAAAAGTACCAAAAGATTGTTAGAAGAGTGCTAAAAGATTGGGGGAACGACCGCAAAATCCCGCAACAGGCGCATTCAAATCGCATTCTGGTCGGGGTGTTCCGCTCCAAAAGTGGTCTGAATCCCCACTAAAAACCAGGGAGAAGCACCCCACTATATTCATAAACCGGGGTTGATGATGATGTGGTTAACATTAAACCGGGATCACCAATTGACCAGAAATGGGACCAAAAAGAGGATCAGACACCAAACATGGACCGGAAAGTCTAGAAACCGGTTTAGATGGGAGGTGTTCTAAAAGTTGTCTGAATCTCCACTAAAACTACGGAGAAGCATCCCATGTTCATAAAACAGGGGTTTGATGTTTCTATGGGGTCAACACTAAACGGGGACCCACCAATTGAACACACAACGGGACATAAAACATGGAGGAGGGGGTGACGGTACCAACTGTTTCTGTAGTCTACTTTAGTAGGGGAACCCTCCCCAAAAAAAGGAGAGAGAAGGGCACTGCTGGGGGACCTTGTTTTTCTTTTGGAACTCAGGGCGCATCGCCAAGGCGATGGCCGCCGCTGGGTTCAGCAGCGCCCCCGACACGTGGCTCACGGCGAAGCCCCCCGCCACCACCACGAAGCCGATGGCGAGGCCGAAGAAATGGGAGGCCTCGCGTTCGAGGCTCCCTGTACTCGAGGACTCAGCTCGAAAACGACGAAGCACCGTTTATATATATATACATATATATATATATATTATGTTGATATCTAAACGAGGCTCCAACGAGGACTCACTCCCAGAGGGTCCCCCGGTACCTTCTAAGGATGCACTGAACGGCTCCTAACCAGGACCGATTCCCCAAAGGTCAGGATCCATGTCAATTGGTGGGTACCGGATAAGATATCAAACGAGATGAGCTCTCTCCAGATTTAAGAGGTGCAAAAACGGAATATCTCTGGAGGCATCGTGTCGTTTTACTCGAGGAAACTCAGCTCGAAAAAGGCAAAGCAAAGTTACATCATCCAAACGACCACCTTTGAATCAAAGATGGCTTGCTCCAACATGCAACGCATATAGCCAGCCCAACTTGTGCAATTCAAATGATTTTACTTCAGCGTTCTCCCAGCCCAGAACACCAATTGAGCAAAAACACAGCTAGTTGTGTGTTCAACCTGCTTAGGAAGTTATAACTGCTGTGGCGAGGGGTCCAACGCACAAGGCGTTCCGATCAAATGCGCGCGGGACCGCTTGGCACGCTTCCTAGGTCAGACGCGCGCGCTGCGCACAGGGGTTCCAGTCAAACCAACGTGGGGCTCAGTCAAACACGCATAGCAGCAGTTTTGAATGGTGGGGGGTGGGGGCGTCCTCTGTAAATATATTCGACCTTGTGAATTTACTGAAATTTACACGAAGTCGTGCCCATGCACCCCCGATTCCGTGTACAATCCAGTGTAGATTCGGCCAAATTCTCCCGTGTAAATTCGACACACTGCCCACAGTGGCTACAGGCCAACCAACCCTTTTGTCCCACTATCCTCGAGGTGGTCGTAACCTACTAAGCAGGCTGAACATCCAAGTATCTCCAAACTCTATTAAAAACAATCCAACACCCCAAAGAAATGGACCGCAATCATGGTGATCGCATCATGAGCTCGCGCTAGAATGGGCAGCGCTACGCCGTGGGTCCTTGTTAGAGAAACCACCGCCTTCGTCGAATCGGAGACCGTCACTGCCAGCACCACGTAGGACAGGGCAAAAGTGAACACCGCCTCCGCCGACAGCGCCTGAACTTACGGATTGCGTGACCTCAAATTGGGTTCTAATAAATGGGTTCTGAAACCGGATCCTACACATATTGTCATATATTGTCTGTTGGTGAAGCTGGAATTAGGGGGTTTCCTTTCCGCCGGGATGTAAAGGGAGGCCAAGGGGAAGCCCACCAGTTTTGGGGTCCCACCGTTTTGACACACACACACAGACACAAATTCGGCCACATTTGGCCACAGCCACTTAAAAAACCTCAATTTGTTTTTGGCCACGGAAAAACAGAAGTGGTTGGACACTTAGAAGCTTGGTTTGGGTATCTTGACTGGACCAGCAGTTTCAGGCAAGCAATTGTGTTTGGGTTAGCGCATGCGAGATACAAACTCACTATCTAGTCTGGTTGAATCCCCCACGCTTGCATTAGGAACATCAGCAACCACTTCAGATTTGTCCGGACAAGTGCTAACGCCGCCTAACCCCCGCACCATGAATCCTCACTTTCTCCCACCAGCAGCCATTGGACAAACCTCTGGTGGAAGAAATGCTCCTCTGGACCCATGCTATGCATGTCTCGTCAGCTTCAAAGGCTGGCAGCAGGCCATCTCCCGAGGAGATGAACCGTTCGCTTGCTTAGATATGCCTAGAAGACCAGCCTTGTTAAACCCGGTTTGCAAGTCCCTTATGGGATAATCCTAGTCTGGAAACGGACCAAATGGAGATACAAAACGCTTACCCACCCGGGTGGACATCCAAGTACAAGAAAAGCTGAAATGATGAGAATTGTGTTGGTACTTTGAAACCAAACTAAGCAATCGATGATAAGAGAATCAGCTCTCGTTAGAACTACTTCACACAAGCAATAGAACTGCTTCACACAAGCCGGCTCTCTCACATTGGCCAACTGGACAACTATAGGAAATTCAGCGCAGAAACTGCGGCAATAAAAAACAAAAGAAATCATGTGTACTTCTTCAGCTCAGCCCCTTGCATCCATAGGTGTTCTGTTGGGAAAATAGATGGCCCTGGCAAATGCAATAACACCCATCTAAACCAGTGCCACCTGGCTGTGGGTCAAAACCCTGTACCCCTGGTGAACATCAAACTAGGTGACAAATGGATGTTCATCCACCCCAAAATGGAGCCATAGGTTGTGCCCCATGGCCATGTAGTTCAACCAAGCAAACGTCAAAAGGACCCTTCCCCCCCAGCACCGCTGACAGCCTCGACGAGTGAAAAGCCCTGCTTAGGCCCACAGGCAGCTCTGGTCTGGAAGGTGAGCATGGCGAGCAAAGCTGCCAAGCAGCCGCCCAGCACTTGGACGATCCTTGGATCGACAAGAGTTATAGACAACATGACTTGTCTCAAAATGAAGACTACTGACCTTTAACCCAAGGCGAAAAGGGCATTCTCAAAAAAGTACACCTATGGGTTTCCCTGAAGAGAGCCCCAAATATGTTAGGACACACCCCTGGGTTGATCAATGAAGGCCGACATCCTTGCGACTTGTGACCTAGTGCCATTGAAAATGTCGAGCTCAAAGGATGACCGTAAGCGAACACGGGCCAAGCGAATCGAACAGGACAGGCCAACTGACTTTGGCCAAAGCGTCACATAGAGAGTGGCGCGGTGTTCCCGGAAGCCACGCGATCTGCCTGAGAAGTACACGGCACAGGTCACCGCAGGGTTGAAGTGCCCGCCAGACACATCGCCTAAGGCATAGATCCTGGGCACGGATCCGGCCCAGCACAAAGTTTAGTCGTGCCTCTGGTTGCCATGAAAAACCATGCAATTGCGAAACAACAACAGGGGTGGGGGGGGGGGGGAAAGCACACACAAAAATAAAAATAATAATAATAATGAAAATCATAATAATACGGCAAAAGGATAGTCACATCTCCTGAAACCAGTTGACATGCTTGCTGGTTTGCTCGAATGCGGGAACACCAACATATGTTTGTCCTTTGGTGCAAGCTGGAACCCGTTCTGATACAACCTGTGGAAAGGGACCCCCGCAAAAACCAAGGCTTGAAATTCAAGGGGACATGCAGAAACATCCAAGAGGACACTTGGGGTTCCAGCTGGAGCCCTTTGTTAGGACGCCCTCCCCTTCAAAAAAGTCAAAAGGTACAAGTGGGAGAGTCTTTTTTTAAGGGTACCCTGTTTGCTTGGTTTTGAAGAGAACCGAAGCCATTTCAAGGGTACCCTTTTTAAAACCGATGCCATTTCGGGGCCCTCAAAAAAAAGAAGAGGGACGCAGCCAAGTCTGGTTAAGTCCGAGCATGGCTCATGGCGGCCAAGGCCGCGGCGACGCTCAGGGGCCCCGCCGCGCTCTTGGCGTGGACGTTGGAAGCCACGGTGAGGACCAGCAGAAAGCTGCCGATGGTCTCACAGAGCAGCTGCTCTGAGAGGCTTTCGGAGCTCCTGGCGACCAAGGACTGCACAAAAACACGTGGGGGGGGGGGGCTGGACAAAATAAGGGTCCAAACACCGTGGGTGAAAAAACCATGGAAGCAATGGGAAGCTCGTAGTCAGTGTAAACCTAAGCCATTCTCATGCAATTGTGGACCATTATTTTATTGGCGTTGAACCCCGGGGTCTATTAGTGTTCTTTAGGGGGAGGGACAATTGTGTGCCTTGTAGCCAGGAGCGGTAGAAAAGGGGGTTGCTTCTTTCAGGGGTCGATGAGTTCGGAGCAGCCGCGTGTTTCGACCAGCGGAATCTGAGCAAGTGGCTCCTCTCAGATCCAAAGTCCTCCGGGCGGACGTGTTTGAAGAGCCAGGCTGCGGCCACGCCAGCCAGAAGCTCCACGAAAGCGTAAATGATAGAGGTCCCGAAGCCAGGCGAGCTCACATCCAGGGAGATTGCCACAGCAGGGTTAAAGGCGGCCCCGGAAATCGTGCCAGCACCATATGCGCCCGCGATGATGCAAAATCCGATGGCCACAGCAAAATACTGACCCTTCTCTTCTTTGTTCTTCTTCGCCGCTGCCACGTTCAGCACTACGAAGCACAGCATAAAAGTGTATAGAAACTCGCAAATGCAGGCTGCGATGAGCCCAAAACCAGGGGACACCGCCAGGGGAACTGCCTTGCCACACAAGAGGCTGCCGACAAAGGCCGCGGCAATGCCGCCGGTAAGTTGAACTGTCGAATAGGCAACCACCATCCTAAGCTCTGATTGGTCTGGGGCCTCTGAGTCACCGAGCCTCTGGTTTTGTACACAGTGCATGTACCTGGACATGGACTCCATGGGGATTGGATCAAAACGCGACTAGAGGATGACCGGGACCTCCCCATTGATTGATGCGCCGTCGCTTGTCTATGATTGAGATGCTTCACGTGCCCCGATCTGAGAATGGTGGGCTGGTTTGCCGGTGACAAGCCTTCTTAGAAACTCAGGTATTTTAAACCTTGATTGAGAAGCCCAAATGCGTAAAACGTGCGGCTTTTCTTCGGACAGGAATTCATATATTGTCACCTGTGTCGGGGCAGCAGGGATGACCGGTTCTACTTGTGATATCTTGTGATTGCGAGCAAACAACTTGAAGGTGAGCTAAGTCTAATGGTTGCGCAGACCCGAGATCACCTATTGGTGGTTTCCTTGATCTGGTTCATTCCAACCCCGGCAATTTCCGCATCGAGAGCCAGGTCGGTGCAACTTGCGGGGAACCAAGGCTCACTAGTTTTTGCCTTCAGCAAATTCCATGGACTAGCGCTAAAACTGCTATTTGTGAAGGTCCAAGAAAGTGAAACTAAAATAATTGAAACCAGGGTAGCAAGATATCCGTCCCCTTAAAGGGAAAACCCAAAGCAGAGTCTAGAAAAACGCCCCCAGCGCTCGAACCGCTCGCTCCTCCGCCCGCCCTACCCGTCCCTGTGCTTCCACGCCACGGCCAGTCCATGCCCTCCGAGCCCATGGACCGCAGACAACCCAACGCCACCGAGACCGCGGGGTTAAAGTTGGCCCCTGAGATGCCACTGAAGGCCTCCCGACCGGGGGAGAAACATAGGTGGCCTTTTGGAAAATAGATGGGTTTCCCGGTTTCCCTCAAAAATGGAAGAAAACCCATCTAAATCAGTGCCTTCTATCTTTTGACACACCAACCTTAAAAAGGACACCTATGTGGAGAAAAAACGATTGCCCATCAAGTTCAACCCACCCGCCGCGGTTGTTTTCCCAGGTGGCCCACAAAGCCGCCTCTTTTTGGTTTTTCTTTGTTTGCCTTTGCCCAACCCAAAATATAAATCGCGGATCAAATGCGCACAGGTCGGAGGCCTTGAAAATCCGTCGACTAAACTCCCGTTGCCCAAAAAACAAAACATACGTCACTAGACCTATCACCAGGCGCCCCTGGCGGCCGCCTGCCCCGGCCGGTCCATGGCCGTTCACTGGGGCCCTTGCCCTTGGGCAAACTTTGTAACTTGAGCACGGGCCAAGAAGCATGGCAAAAGTCGAACAATGAAATACTGGCTCTTCGACTTGTTAGACTTTCGCGACTGTAGGGCACAAACTAAGGAACAAAACCAGCTAACTGGCATGTTGCCCTACTGTCAATCCACAACATCTTGCGCCAGTTTGCTGGTTTATCTGATATCCGCTTGCTCAAAGGGTGTCATCCACCCCAAACGGTGCGAAGCAGCGGATTTTGTCCATCCATACTGTGATCATGACTTGATCTGGAAGCTTCTCACAACGGGTTCGTGGCTGAAGGGAACCAAATTGCCAATTTGAGGCTCCTGGTTGAGAAACCCCTAATTTGGCCTAGGTGGTGTTGATTCGCAGCCTGCACAGCCACGAAGAGCGCGGCCCCGATGGACAGCCCTGCGAAGAGTGGGGAGCCTGAGCGGGAACCATACACATAGACACTTACATGAGGGGCGTAGATGTATCTTAGCAAATTTGGCTTGCGGTACTTTTTTTGCAACCGAGGACGCTGGCACACACAAACCATCTTTCCTTTGGCCACCAAATGGCAGGAACGAAAGACCAAAACAGCCTCAGTGGAGCAATGCGTACCAGGTTCCCGTTTGGAAACGGAAGCAATGTGTTCCTGTTACTTGCGGACTGGAACTCCACCCCCATATCCTCACCCAACTAGGCAACTAGGGGAAATGCCCGCCCCTTAACATCAACAAGCAGGCTCAAGCAGGACCCTGGTTGCCCCGAGGCCCGAAGACCTAAGGCTATAGTTGACCGCGCCTATGGTCACGTTGCACTCCACGGTTAAGACCAGCAGGAAGGTGCCAAGAAATTCCGCCAGGCACTTGGCGCGGAGCGAGGGCGCCGCCCTGCCCATGGCGCCTATGAAATTATGAAATAGTTCGGTAAGCTGAAGCCGACTTGCGGACATCGGTTCCGGCATCGTGTCTCTGTGCCGCTGCAAGCTCAAGCAGCTTGCGTTGTGCCTTTGGCCCACCCCCTGCCAGGTGAAAGGTGAAGAAAACTTTAAGAGGGTCCGTTTACAATGCTGCAAATTAACATGGACCCCAAACACCATCTATATATAAAGGCGGCCCGTTTCTGCGTCCGAAACAAAGGGAGACCAGCAAACCCTGCGCCGCTCTCAAGCTCGAACCCGCCTCGCGTTGCTGATGAAGGTGCCAGCATCCCCCAGAGACCTGCGACGGTGACGTGCAAATCAGGCCATGGCTGAGCGCAAATCGTCTTTCCGTTCAAAACGCGGAATCTCCAGTCCCACTTCTTAACCTTTAGCGGGACTCCACGACAACCAGGGAAATCACAAGAATCTTCCAGAATTGATCTCGAAGAACCCATCTTGCGGGATCACAAGGTGCTATTCCGAAAAGATTGGGGGCTTAACCGCCCCCCAGCCAGCTGTCGACTTAGGAGCTGGTTCCCTGAAGCCTGCTGGCGTCCCAAGAGAACCCTCAGCTCCTTCCCAAGCATTCCTTTGAACAACTGCGCATTCGAGCGATGAGCGCAAGCTGATGGAACACCAATGCGCCAGCTCAGTCCCCTGAGCCAAACACTTGACCAGGTGGATTTGAGTAGTCGCCATTCGACGGCTAACCTAAACCACCGAAAAGACACAACAGTTCCGAGTTTGCGGCGGGCTCATTGCCTCAGGCATAAAAAGGCAACAGCAGCAGCAACCGCGACGATGATTAACGCCACCGTCGCCAGCCCAACACCAACACCAACCTTCTTCTTCCACACGGCTGAGGGGATCAATCAGCGCCACATGCTGTTCGAAAACGAATTCTATCCCCGGAGCCTGGACTTCGCGGCGGCTGCCTCCTGTGATGCATCGATCGCATGCGCCATGTGAGCTTGCTGCTTTCAACGGGAATCGTCAAAAAAAAAAACAAGTCTTGTGGGGACAAAGTTGCACTATAAAAATGAATAGAAGCCTTTCACATCTCAGGCAAGGGTTTTGGGCGCTGCTCAACTGCGGAGCTGCCTCTTTAGGTGGGGTCAGTTCAAAGGGCAAACCAAAAAAACTAACTTTATCAAAACTGGCTGGAGTGACTCAAATGGTTGGTTGCTTGACTGCCCTTGCAAAAATTCATTGCAAACGCATTCCAAAGATGCGCTCCCGGTATTGCCGCATCATTTTGCCCACGTTGCTTCAAGCCAATAATAATGTGCTGCACCTTTACTAGGCCATATATTCACAAGTAGGAGCATTGCTAATGGAGCTCGCCCCCTGCATTGGCAAACGACCCTCCATCTAGCCGGTCTGTCGCGCCTTGCGCCGCAGGAAAAGGAAGTCCGTCTGGATGATGCTCTCCGGCCAGTCCTCGAGCAAAGTCATCTGCAGCTATGGCTGTGGGTCAAAGATAGGTGCTCAAATAGAACCCAGGAAACAATCACTAAGACCTGCTGTCCCCTGGTGGTTTCATTTTGACCCATACCCATATCGGCAATTTCCAAGACCTGAAATAGAGAACTGAATTTCCAGGTAAAGGAACTACATCACAGCGAGCACGTATTCCGGGTGAGCTCGCTTGGAGGCCCGATGCTTCCAGGCAAGCCACTGCAGGCAACTGGGGCAAACCACCATGTAAAATGGTAAAACACCTTGGTGAAAACGGCTGGTTCGCTGCCATGCCTGGAAGAACTGAGTTGAAGTTCAGGGTAAGGATACGCTCTGCCTCCCCATGCGCGCCTTCGTTCCTTTTAGCGAGCCCCTGGGCCCTTAAGCCCTGGTCATAGTTGCGGGTATCTGCGGTATATGCTTTCTGCTTTTGTGACAGACCGTTCTTAATCATATTAATCATTAATATCTGCAACACATTTATAAAGCATAGCGGCCATAACAAGAGAACAACAACGAAGCTGACTGCAGTTGTAATTATGGCATGTGATGAAGAAGACAGTCTGAACTGTTTAGCACGTGTTGTTTAGCAGGTGTGTTCTATTCATAAATACATAAATACGCACCGTCTATCATTTCAGCAGTGTTCTAAGCCCAGTTGCGGCCGAAGAGAAATATCAAATCCCTTCCGCGGAGGCTTCCGCGGAGCTTGCGCGGCATGAAAGGTTCCTTCCGCAAGAGGTTTGAAGAGAGAATCGCTTCCGCGTTGCTTCGGCGTGTTGAGAAAGGGATTGAAGATCGTGTTTGCTTCCGTGCGTGAAGGAAAACTGGCATTTCTTGCTTCCGTGATTGAATCGTAGCCCTTCCGCGAAGCTTCCGCGACATAAATGAGAAACCCCTTCCGCAAACGTTGCGCGGCGCTTCCTCGACCTGGGAAAAGTCAACATTGTGAAAACGATATTTCCTCCCAAATGCTACTTTCAAGTGCAGGGGTTTTAGAACGTCGCTCATTTGAGCATAGCACATTGCGGCATTGCTTAATTGAATGGGGCGTGACCAGGATGCAAGCCAAAAGCCGAATGCTCGACTCCACAGTGGGCATTGCCGATACAACGAACAAGGCGTCATCCCTTCTGGCAGTGCTGGATTGGATGGAGTTTGGACCACTGCAAAGGGTAGATGCTAGAATTCCGGGGGGGCTGCTTGGCGTGCTTTAGCACTTGCAGCAACCATTCGCATGATGGTACTTCTGGACGCATTGCCCTGTTTGTTAGTGCGAGAAGTTGTGCCCAAAGAAAATGCACATCCCCACCGGAAATGACCAACAAGCATACTGACAAGGTGTGCCGCGAAAGGGTGCCAAAACACAAGGATATACCTGGAGATTCCAATGCCGAGGAATTCCTAGGCGATTCTCAAGGCGGTTTAGGCGTTTTAGGCGTTTTGCGGCTTTTGCGCTTTTTTTGCGGGCGGTTGCCCCTTTATTGCTGGCGTTTTGCGGCAATTTGCGAGCGTTTCCTGTTTCTAGGCGTTTGCGGTAATTGGGCGGTTGCGTCCAAAACAGGGTCAATGCCGAGCATGACTAGGAATTCCTTGACGTTTGAACCTCCAGGTATATATATATATAGATATATGTAATTGTGCATATGTTGGATGTGGGTTGCCCTCAAAACACGACAAGAAGGCGTCCCAGATTGTTCGTGAACTCCGAACTCCAGTCCTCAGGTCGCTGAAAAGTACCCGGAGCCATCGGAATGATGATCGGAACCTTTGCATCGAGTAGCGCCTGCCGCAGAAAGAGCAGCAGTCACTGCAATACTATTGGCACATCCCCCCCACCATCAGGGGGATCATCAAGGACACTCCCCTCCCCCAAATTTTGTGGGGATATTGGCCCACTTAGTAAGTAGACTACACAAAAAATGTTCTTCTCTCTCTCTCTCTGTCTCTCTCCAGCATCCTCGAGCAGGTCTCGCTCGTCCCAGATCAGGGATGCAGAAAACAGGCAGTGACACAGGAAGCTCATTCAGAGTCAGCGGCAAGCCAATGCCTTACCTGACTCTTCAACCTAGCTACCCATGCCGGTGGAGAGTCAGAAACTTCGCAAACCATGCGTCTCCTTCGAAGAACTGAGTCGAAAGCAGGCAGAGCACGGAAAACAAAACCACCGGCAGCGAGGTCGTCAACAGGAAGCACACAGAGCCGGCAAAAAAAGGATCGAGGCTTGCACCAATGTTGCAAGCAATCATACATACAGGACTGAAAGGCACTGAAATTCAACTGAAGAGCTTTTTGCTATAAAATATTATGATCACGTGGGGTTGTGAAGGATAATTTGTTGCATTCCCTTGGAACCACAGTAATCCCCGAATGCCCCAGCGTGAGCAACGTTCGGAAACTCGGCAAGGGCGCGTGCCCTCGAGCAAAAACCGGTGTCAAGGCCTGCCAGGTGTCGTCCACGCATCCGAGGCCAAACATGAGGCGCAGATTGTTGAGGTTCCTCGGGGAATGTGCTCAGTCGGCACGAAGGCTTCAAGAAAATAGCGGCTTAGCTCCGTCTCTCCTTGCTATTCACTGATTCTTTGATACTGTCCTGCACAACCTAGGCTTGAAGGCCCAATATCTTCCAACAAACATCAAAGAATCAATCCAAGGAACTGGGGTATGGTCAAAGTCAAAAACAAACACGGGCCGAACAAGTACTTGGTTTTGTCTCACAATAGTGGATCGCTCAAAATGCCAAGGTTCCATCTGACTTCGTTTTATTTCACTAAATATGGCCAAACCATGGGCAGCCTCAAGAAAAAAACATACCCCAACTTGCACGGGCCTTTGTTCTATTCCCAACATGTTGGCCTAATGGCCGATGCACTGCAACGCAGACGTGCCAAGCTTTATGCCAGTATAACACGGGTCCCCTTGATACAACACTGCCAAAAAAAAGCTCAGCTTAAATCAGGGTTGACGTTGGAAGGGGAGTAAAAAGTTAAATTCTAGCAGGTAAGTGGGGACTTCCCACTAAACCACCATATAGCAAAAATGTAAAATGTTTCCCAACAACAACCATGAAATGGGCCCAAAAGGTTTAAAGCCGTAAGGGAAAGCCTGGGATCTCCCGATGGGGTACATGCAATGGTTCAGTTGCGTGGCAGACGAATTGTGAAGATCCAAGTACCGCTATAGGACTTGTACAGGGCGAATCGCCACTCAATGCTACAAAGCTCATGGACAGGCGGAGCTTGCATTCTGGCGAGCACATAGAATAGAATCACTCAAAGTCGCGCAGACCACTGGTCAAGCCAAGGTGCATTGATGCAAATGGATTCTTTTCCGCCAAATCCTGCGGCCATGCTGGCGACTCTCGCAGAGAATAAGCAATATGCTTGTAGGGGGCAAACCTACCTTGGGTGATTCGAATGGACCGAGAGGGCCACAAAAGCAAGCATCCACGGTACCACACCTTTCCAGCAAAAGAACCCAGCCCAAAGCCGCCATCTGGTGCAGCCGATGGTTGGGCAGGGAGTTGCAAAACAAATATGGTCCCGTTTGTGGCACCGCCTTGTGCCGCCGTTGGCAGGGGGCACCAGACAGGGCCCGACTGCTACCCAGACGCGAGTCCTTGAGAACTTTCAGCGAGTTGTGGGATGTGAAGGCCATCTCTTCAATGGCATCCTGTCAGCACAGCGAAGCCAAGGGCAGCAGTGCACCCACCCAGTCTGATGGCAGAACTTGATTTCCTTAGCAGGAGCTCTCACCTTCCGTGGCCGCCAGGCCCGTCACAAGGAGAATGGCAAAGGATGTGGTTTCGTTGCTCCATGAAGGCTGCTTGAAGCTGGATGGTGTTGAAAGAAGCGGCCAGCATGTCGACGCATGGTTTCAGAAGAGGAAGATCAACAACGTGTGTTCAAGCGCGGAAGGACACATACCTGACGCTAAGCTGCTGTTCCACGCAACTCTTGCCCAAACATGCAAAGGCCTATTTGCTAACTGGATCATTTGTGCTCCGTTCTGAGGGTCACATTACAACAGGAGCCGAGGTTGTCTTTTTGTTCTAAATGAGTCCAGCTTTACAGGAACAAATCATGATAGAAGTTGATTGCCAAGTCAATCAAACCAAACGTGTAAAGAACATGAACGGCATTAAACTACGTCCTTTCCTTCTCTTTACCCAGAATTCGCTTGAGATTTTATGGGTTAGTTGTCTCACCTCTATCTTCTGTTCTTGAATTTATTTTCAGGACTAGAGTCACTGAAGGCTGACTCCATCTGTCTAGGTCTTCGCTTTATCCCCCCCCTCGCAAGGTTTGGAGGAGAGGCGAAGGTGAGGAACAAATGAAAGAGATGGACTGGCGGGTTGCCAGGGTGAGAAACTGGAGCAAAAACGCTTCCGCAAAATGGGCTGGTCGGGCGGGGGGGTCTTTAGCATTTAAGAAAAAAGGACTCTCGGCACTAACATAAAACCAATCTTAAACGTCCTCCCAGGACCCCCCCTTTCCGCATCAGGTGCTGGAAATGGACCATCTGCCCCCCCAAGGCCCAAGATCCTCCAAGCAATCCAGGCCGAAGAGGGGGGAATTTGTTTGGCAAAGTAAGCTGGAGATCCCCTCTGGCAAAGGACACAGAAAGCAATACCAAAGTCGGATCCCAGGCCCTACTTGATCACTTCTTTTTCACAGAAAGTGGCAGTCTAAAACCAAATCCGCCACCATTGATACTTTGTCTCAGAATGGAGAGCCTTGTTTTGGATGGTCTTGAAACAATGCGCTTGACTGGAGTCAGAACAAGCCCAAACTTGCCGTTCACCACCCTAATGATCTCCCCAACAAACTTTGAGGTCTAAAACTGGTTGACCGCGAGACAAGGATCCAAAAAGACCTCTTCATCTCAAGGAAGAAAATTTCGAATACCCTCCCACCAACAAACATGGACGTGCGCAAACCCCCTTTCCAAGAGCAAAGTAGTCTTTCTACAGGGGTCTGTGCACTTCCACGTTCGTTGGTGGGAGGGTATCTGATTCTCAAGTGATGGACGAAAAAATTCTGAGGATGGCCTTTGGGGGGTCAAAATTTCAAAAGGCATCCTTGGAAGGTACTTGGACCTTATGGGAAGGAGTAAATTTTACATGTTTGATTTTCCGGATCGCTGCGCAACTTGCTCCGAGGCACCAGCAGGCTGTGACCTTCCGCGCCATCGATGGCCATCACGGCCTTCCAGTCCTGGCGCTGGAAGCTTTCGCTGAGGGACGCGCGCGGTGTTCCAAATTCTAGGGGTTGATTCCCCTAGGAATCCAATTTGCCCTGAATACTTGGCTGACGTTGGAAGGGGAGCAACAAAAATATATTTAAAACATAGCAGTTCAGTGGTTGGATTTCAACCACTAAACCACAATAAGCAAAAATGTAAAATGTTTCCCAACAACAACCATGGCTTGGCGTGATGGATACCCTCGAACTGTTCCACAAAGGGGCCTGGCCTTTCCCCCGCAAAGTGGTGGTGGCCACAGCTTTCATCCTTCCGTGGACCCTTCCACATCCCTTGTGAGGGGCCCACGGGTTCCTTCCATGGTACATGTTGCGGTGTTGTTCAAAAATCGGAAAACACTGTTCCTTCCGCGGCTTACGTGTTGAAGGCTTTGCCTTTGCGAGTGTTAGTGCGCAAAAGTAAGCGAAGGTTAGGTAACGCGCACGCACACCACGTTCCAGCAGGCCGCCCATCAAGCTCCTGTTTCACTTTATCAGCTGCTTCGAAAAAAAGCGCATGGCTTGAAGGCAACAAAATCAAAACGATTCCGCCAATGCAAGTTGAGGTCCAGGCATTCAAACAGACAAACGCAGCACGCGTCTCCTGGTCTGTGCTTGGAATACAACTGGGCTGCAGAATAAAACCTCAAGCAGCCCAAGCAATCGCGTCGATCGATCTTTTCACACATGGCAACGCCTACTGAAACTCCATCCTCTTTGAAACCAGCAGCGGACAATGACAACGACAATCTTGGCTGCTATGACTAGACTGCTCAAGCAACAGGTCCATTTAGACTTCAACGCATATTGTCCTTGCGTTTCGCTCTACCTTTGAAAGGGCACCCACTTGCCACACTCAGATGCCCAGTGGCCATGGGGAAAAAAGGGCACCCTTTTTTGTTGGTTGAGTTTAAAGGGAAACCCTGACCCAAAAAAGGAAAAAGGGCACCACTGGGCAACAAAGCACAATGGGACAAGTTAAGGCTGCAGCCAATGAGGGGCTTCTTGCAGTACTCGCTGACAAGAGCGGCAACGCCAGCCAAAGTGAAGCCTCAATCCATCAGCTTCTGCCCAGCGGCAATGCCGCCGCCGGGCAAATGGCTTCAACGTGAAATCTCCTTTTCGTGCACCCCTTTTGTTGGGTTCAATGTCGATCTGCAAAGAAACCCACCCGTCAATTCACGCGGCAAAACAAGGGCATCTCTTCAAGCGGTCAACGTCATTTGGCCCGATGGCTGGCATTTGCTGACAGTCACACACACACACACATATATATATATATATATACACATATCTATACACTCATAGTAAACAAAAAGCGGTATCAATCATAATGATAATTGTAACATTGTTAACCTATTGGTGATAACACTGCCAATCATAATAATTATGACAATCAAACACTATCCTGATAATCATGCATGGGTGTGTGCATGTATACATGTATACATGTGTGTGTATATATGTATGTACGTACGTACGTACGTACGTATGTATGTGTGTATGTATGTATGTATGTATGTATGTATGTATGTATGTATGTATGTATGTATGTATGCATGCATGCATGCATACATATGCATGCATGTAGGTAGGTATGCATGTATTTATGTTGTTGATTTATGGTAAGCCTTGCCTGTAGCAGCAACCTTTACCACCAATTTACCCCAAATTTAACCCCAATCTTGTGAGTAATTTACCCTCAATTTTGGGGGGTAATTTACCCCCTATTGCGTGGGTGGTGGCAATTTACCCACAATTTTGTGGGCATTTACCCCAATGTTGGGAGGACAATTACGGGTAATTTACCCCATTGTGTGGTGTAATTTACCCCAATTCTGTGGGGCATTTACCCCAATGTTGGGAGGAAATTTACTCAATGTTGGGGGTAATTTACCCCCAAATTTGTGGGTTGCTAATTTACCCCGAAATTTGTGGGTGGGTAATTTACCCCCCAAATTTGTGGGTGGGTAATTTACCCAAATTTGTAGGTAATGTACCCTCAATTTTTGTGGGTCCCCCAATTTTGGGGGTAATTTACACTACCACCAATTTGCGGGTGAACGTTCCCCAGAATTAGGTCAATGTTGCCGAGTCGGTCTCCCCACCCGCAGAAAAAAGGCATGCAATTTGTTGATAGAGGCAAGCCCTAATATTCGTGTATGTATTTGATATGCGTGCATGTACGTGCGTAGTCTGAGCATCAAAGTCACCCTCTTTCAGGTCAAGAACCCCATCCCACCCACATGGCACCTGACAGGGGATTTGTTCAAAAGGAACTTTGATCTTCCAGGAACCCTCCAAGTGTCTTCTGTTGGAAGCGTACGGCCCCAACAAAAGACAGCTTCACGCCTGGCGGCCAAACATAATGAGGTCCACAGGTCGAGGCCCCTTCTCCGCAGCCAATACCTCATCCACGAACACGGTGGCGCTGGAGAAGAATTCCTCGGAACACCCGAGGAAATTGGAACTGTAGCGAAATCGGCCATCTAAAGGATCAGGGGCCATTGCGATATCTTTTTCGTCTAAACCTGATTCTCTGTCAAGCTGGCCCAACCCAGAGACGCGTCAGCATGCCGATCCCCACTTGAACACAGCCAATCCTGGAACACCGTGCCCGGAACGCAGCATCACATGTCGGACAAACCTGCTTGATTGCTCGGAACTTGGTTTGCTTTCAGCACCTGCCGCCTCACCGGAGACGTCGCAAAATACTTCGCCAGTCACAAGCAAGGCAAACTTGGAAGCCATGGACTCGATTCGGAACTCGCCTCACCGGAGACGTCGCAAAATACTTCGCCAGTCACAAGCAAGGCAAACCTTGGAAGCCATGGACTCGATCCAAAGTACACCAGAGAATGCATCTCAAGATCTGAAAAGGGGTCCATGTTGGAAGCCAAGTAGAAGTACTCCATGCCAAAGCTGAAGCCATCAAAAAAAAGGTCCCCGCTACAAGGAGATCCGGAAATGGCCTGCCTTGGTTCCAGGCTAACCTTCAGGAAAGAAACTACAGCAATGCTCCTTCGCAGCTTGACAAGTGGCGGCTTCCGACCGCGAAAGGGCGATCCTCGGCAGTCAGGGCGAGCGCTGAAGTGCTTGACCAACTGCAAGTCAAGCAACCAGAAAGCATGGCAAGCCCCTGGGTGCTGTAGATACTGTAGATCCCCCAGCAAAAAGTTTTGAGCTTTTTGCTGGTCAAAAGGAAACATGAGGGGAAATCCAAGAAGTCAAAGTCTAAAGATCCAACCCAACAGCAGAGTGGAATACCCATGGCCCATTGATCGAGCTGCTACGCCCTCCTGCTTCTTACTGTATGTACTGCTGGCGAGGCCTGGGCAGCAATCGCTACTGTGCATCCGAGCCTCATTTGAAGAAACTCCGTGCGGGTGGATAGCAGCAAGTGGGAGCCGAACGTGTCCATCTTTGCCTGTGTCGAAATTGAGCCAGGCCAGCACTTCTGCATGCACGAGGGATGAATTGTCCAACCAAGCTAAAGGGGCTCTCCCAAGTTTAAGATAGCCCCGCATCCTGAGAGCTAGGGAAAGGCCTGACAAAAAACATGACACGGGGTCGTCCCAAAATAGGAGAAACCCACAAAATGGTCGGCTTCCTTTTGGAGTCCAGCCCCAGAAACGCCCACTTTTGACTTTTGACACGGCCTCGGTGTTCCCGCCGCTCGGCCGAAATCTTATCCGGCCCCTGGAGACGTCCTCGGCCGATCCCGAGATGGACCTCTTGGATGTTCAAGCCACTTGAGTAGGTTCCAACCATGGCTATATGCTGATTCCCTTACTTACCAGTAAACAGCTACCTGCACCAGCAAGATTGGGACATATTGCAGCTCAAAGCCAATATATCTAGCAACACCCTTGTGCCTCTCAGACCTGGCGCTCTGCAATTTGGCCGCTCGCTGCCCTGTAGGTGTTTTCCAAGGACCCCTTAGGACCGGTTACTCTGTTCTGTGTTAGGCAGCAAGTCGGGCTTGTCCTTCAGAGTGTTGCTTGCTCAGGCCGGAAGGCATTCAGCCTTTCCGGGGTTCTAACACCCGAATATCAGTTGCTCAGGCCTGAGCAATGCACATACTTAGTGCCACTTAGTGCCAGCTGTCTTACCATGGACTTCGCTTGGAAACAAATAAACAAATGCAAGATAAAGCTGACATCGGTCAGATCAGTCCGCACGAAATGCAAGTACTATCCAACATGAAAATGACAGCTCTGCAAGTGCACGGCCACTGCTATCCTAATGTTAAACTGTTAAGTTCTTTGCTTTTTCCCCTGGCTTTCCAGAATGCACACAAAAAAGAAGAAGCAAGGAGCAACAACGCAAAAGGATCCCAGTAGGGCGCAACCATCTCCCAGGTCATCCAAAGGCCACAGGGCCAATCCCAACTTGGAAGCCGGGGAGCAGACCATTTCCTCACAAAGTCCGCATGGGTCAGCTCGGTGCAAATGGTGACCTGGGACGGAAATCCGAAAGTTCCCGGCTTCGTTCTGGAGCACTGCCTGTCAACCGGCAAGCTCTCCAACACGGAGAGCACTTCGCCCAAGCTCCTAGAAGCCATGACGAAAGAAGCCGGGCGAAAGGTCTTGACTTCGAATTCTGCTGCTGGCAAAGGTGGTTGCAACCTCACCAATGTTTCGCTGCAGAGGAGTTCCCATTATGGTGGTGAATTGCAGTAACAAATTCAGGCGTTTATTTGTCATTTCGTCTGAACTAGCCCACCCTAAGCTACAGTTGGCGAGGCAAGTTCAGCAGCCTTGAATTGCCCGGATCACTTGCAATGGCTATTGGAGTTTTAGACCAACCACTAAAACTGCTCTAAACCAAACAGGGGGTGCAATCCTGCGGACCACCCAAGCCCAGCCCAAACTGCCTCAATTTTTGGCAAGGATGCCTGCCAGCACTTCTCCGTCACAGTGGTCAACCCTTCAACATGAAGGAACACTTGGACCAACCTACCTCCCTCAACAGGATCGCCGCATGGGCGGACTGACCCAAGTGAGCCCCGCTGAGCCGCGCCGAGCCGCCAGCCACCCGTGCGTCTCCGCCAACCCCCGCGCCAGCGTCACAAAGGGCTGCACATCCCCGCGGGTGCCCCGCGTCATCATGAACACCTCAGGGAAGGCACTTGCAGCCAGCTCCAAACACAAAGCGCTCACACAGCCTTTGGCTCTCGACATGACGCGTCCGGATTCCGCTGGACCTTGGACCTAAGTGGGTCATAGAAATTATAGATGTCAAACTGGCCCCCAGGCTACGTATGAGCAGCACCCGAGATGTCCATTGGCGTGCCTGGAAAAGGTTGATCCAATTTAGCCACGGCAATGTCCAGCGTTTTAACATAGCACCAACACAATACGTTCATGCCAAGTGCCCATCTTTCGCCGCTAGTGGGTCCAAATTGCTTGAAATGTGACCATCATGAGATGGCCAACATGGAGTTGCATACCCACCACGTGTCTCTTCTTCGGCCGGGCGTCGTGCATCGGATACCTCAGCTGAGGGAAAATGAGACATGGGACAAGGATGAAGATCTCCCCCCCGAACATACCGCCAGTTTGGTCAGGAGAAGTTCTATGATGGTACCAATTCACCTTGACCAGGAATATCAAAGAGTGCTACGGATCAAGCGAACCAACCCACGCAGGAGTTTGAACTTGCGTAGGCGGCACATTCAAAGGACCCGAGTCAATCCTGTGCAATCCTAAGCTAGAACACCGGTGACCGCTGTGCATTCCGTTCTAGGAAGGCCATACCTACTCAACAAACCCTGGAGGGACTTTGCTGATTTCACCATGACTGAGCTTCCAAGCAAATGTGTGTGTTGTTGCTTTGGCGGGCGGCGGCGATGCGACGGCGGAGAAACAAAGTGCAATGCGTTCTTGTTTCTAAAGCACTGAATGCAACATTCTGAGCTTGGTCGCTGTTAACCCCCTGCAAAAGTTGATTTTTTTTGGGGGGGGTAAGTGGAAAACACCTTTATTTCCCAACAGTTAAAGTTTAAAGATCCAACCCAATAGCAGTCAAGTGAACTTCTGGTTACTGGTTGGTTCAGTCCTTGAAGTGGACATCACTTTTCTGCTGCACCTCTCCAAGCTGCGCTGCTTGTTGGTTGCAGCTTCCAAGGTTGCCACAACATCAGCAACTCCAGCTGCCCAACATCTCAATCTGCTTTTTTTGCCGAGGTTTAGGGCTCAAGTGGCGGTGAAATGCCCTATCAAACAAGCAATCCCAGGGCAGAGCATCGCAACCCGCTAGAAGATTGGCCAGCCAAGGCATGTCAAAAAAACTAAATGGACAATGATCAATCAATTTAAGATATATAATTTAACAGCGTTCTTTCTCTCTCGCCTTCACTCTCTCTCTCTCTCTCTATCTCTCTCGCTCTCTCTTTGTGTCTCGATACGCCAAAGATCTCCCATGGGACACGCAGCTGTCCTTCTAAATGATGTAGCTCTGTGAATGGCTTGTTGGGCTCCACCAAATGTCCTACTTTGTATGACTTAAATAAAATCGCTTGCCTTGCCACGGGCAAGATGTACATCGCACAAAGTGGGACAGATTTGCGCTTGGTATTTCTGAAAAATGAGCCGCAGCAGGGTTCTCTATATCCATGCCCTTTGCACCTGGGAAATAAAACATGTTCTTAAGCCCACGGATTCACAAAGACCTCGGTTTTCCAGCGCCGGGCGGCGATGTAAGGTCGCTCCCCGATTCGGGCGGCACGTTCCACGTCTTTGGCAGCGACTCCTCCACCACCTGTGGGCCGTCTTTCAACATTTCATAGGTACATTCAGGGAAACGGTTTATGCAACATTATGCATGTGCACTGTACTAAGTGCATATGGTGGAACACGCTGAGCCTAGGGATCAGCAAGCAGAAAGGGCTGCTGGTTTGGAGAACCCCGCTGTTGCGCTGGATAAGGGAGAGCTGATCAAACCCCAGTGCCATTTTTCCTGGCATTTGGCGGGGTCCGTGGATTCTACATGTCGAATTGCCAAATCCAAGCATTGGCGTCGGATCCTAACTTTGTGAAAACAGTATGTTTATCTATATAATCTGCTTGTTGACCCTTTGGATCAAGGCCAGTCCTGCAAGATGAGATGGCAACTCTAAGCTCCCTGCCGACAATGAAATCTTGCACGGCCAGCGCCTGGGGAGACGGTGGCAAAACAAAACGACAGGCAATCAATTAGTGCTTGGGTGTGTGTGTCCTTTTTCAAGGGTATCCTTTTCGTTGGAATCCCAAATTGTAGGTTTCATATTGTAGATGAATCTGTTTTGGAGGCAAACTCATTCAATGCCACAGGAGGCATGGGAAACTCTGAGCCCTCTCAACTGCTCAACTGCGCTGAAGGGACATCATCAATCGCCCCACTTGCTATGGCACCAAGCCATGCCAATACCTGTGTTACTTCTGAGTTGAAAGCCGAAGATACCAAGGGCGCGCAGAAAATCTATGAAAGCCCAGCATCCCTTAAGGTATTGAAAGCTAATGATCATGCCCTGCACTTGCCACGCCATCCAACAAATCCATCAACTGGGCACACATGGTTCCATTCTTGCAAGCAAATGGAGCAGAACCAGGTCAGCAACTTGGGCCCATTTCACCCTTCCATGTGCCATTATGTTGGTCTTTGTGATGCCCCCCCATTGGGCCCCATATGCAGCTGTTATCGAACTCCCAACCAAACAGCCCGTGACCATCACTGTATAGCCTGGACTGTTCCAAACGGAAGGTCGGCCAAACCTACTCCATAATCGCGATTGGGCAGCGGTTCACTGCGCGGGCAACATAATCCTGTCGAAAGCAAACATAATAAGTAAGGACTGCCTTTGAAACCACAAAGAGGGGTGCCTACAGTTCCTCCTTCAACACCACTCCACTAAACGGAAACTCACTTTCCACCGGCTCAATGTTTACAGCAAGCCTGAGGGGAAATATAGGGATTTATCCAACCCAACTCTTGTTGCAGATCCCTCTTAGGGCCTGTTGTGAACGTAGAGGGTTGGCTTTGCAGGCGACTGGTTTCCTCCCTACTTGGAAGTGTGTCCCTTCGCACCTTGACTGAAAAGGGAAACCATCGCATTGTTTTAGGGTCCCCCGGTTTTGACACACGCCTACTTTGATTCGCTCATGGTTTCTTTTCAAGATGCGGCGGCACATCGCCCAAGACGGCTTCGCCGTAGGCATCCGTGACCAAATAGTCCCCCTCGGGCGTCAAACAATTCCAAAAGACCACCCTTGGATGTCCTAGAATTGTCTCGTCGAGTGATTTGTCCAACGAAGTCGCAAACTTCTTGCTTGCCACTAAGCAAACAGTGAGCGGGCGGACCAGCTGAACTATTTTTGAGGCACAGCGCCACAAAGCACAACAACGCATAGCAAAGCAGAATGGAGAAATGGAAGAAATGGCAGCCCCGCATCCCATCCAAATGAACGTGAGGCCGGAAGGGGGCCAAGCACTCATCCAAAAGACTCACCCCGAAGCATGCTCAAACATTCAACCCTGAAGAAAGCAAAATCCCCGAAACCAACCTCAATGACTCAAGCCCACCCCAAAAAGAACAAATCTAAGCCAACCCCCAGCGCCAACCACCCCAGTTCGGGGCGCACCTCCCGGTCCGCCACCAACTGCTGCAAAGGAAGACTCACATCCTGCCAGGGTCAGCAGAAATGATCGTCCAAACAAAGCCCTGCCTCACCCAAACAAAACATATTCGCCTTTACAGCCTGTAGGTCACGAGCCATTTTATGGATCTGCTGCGTCATTGTCCAGAGGTCAACTTTCGAGACGTCAAATACCAACTGAAGGGAGTCTGCGTCAGGGCCAACTTTCACGACACTACGGGACGAAGCAGGCCACGCAGGAATAGGGGCTCCTCTTTTAAAAGAGGTAACCTGAGTGAACATGTGAAAACGACACTGTGAAATTCCATGGTTCCACTCCCCCCCGAAAACAAATACTGCCCCACAAGCTGATGCGATATTCAGCACGCCCTCACTCTAAGAGACATTGGTGCAGTCATACCAGCGCGACCTTCTTGGGGGGAACTGCAGCTGGATACTGTGGGGACTGTTCATGGGAAACTCTCAAGAAGACTCGGCTTTGAGCAAGTGGGTGTATGTGGCAAAACCAAGGACCCAACTGAATGGTTGAGTGGGGGGGGGATTCCAAGTATATTGCAATGAAGTCGCGCCTTCAAAAACTGAAAAAAGATGTCCAACAACCAGATCAACCAGGGCTCCTCTAAAATCAGCTTGGTACCGGTGATCCTTTTGCCCGGCCAAAAAATATCCGAGCTGGACCCGAGAATCCGTTGGACCAACATGGGTGATCTCAGAGAACCCGGTCCCCGATGATCTGGCTCACCACGCTTCTGTCATAGAGCGTAATGCGGAGAGTGGCGCTCTCCAAGTCCCACCTTACTTCAGACGTTGGTCTCAAAAGTGACTTTTGGGTATGGGCCAAAATCAACCCACCACTCAAACCCTCCACCGGATCTGACATGTTGTCGGCCCACCTTTCCCTCAAGGGAGCCGTGTCTATTTCCCTAAAGTGGTTTGTTTTGAATGGACGTCGCGCAGAAAATAACATCAAAAGGCAGCCCCTGTCCCGCCCCAAACTTGACCAAGGGCTCAAAGCGATCCATGGCTCGAGCCAAGGAGCTTGTCAGGAGGGACGTTCTTCGCTGCAGCCAGTCGGGTACTCTTGCGGTCTCGGGTCGAGCACAAGAGTAACCAATGCCCAGCCCCGAACTTGCCGCAGTGCCTATGATGTGTTTGTCCATGTCGGAAGGGGTACCCTCCCACCAGCTAACATGGAAGTGCACACACCCCTGTAGAAAGACTACTTTCCTCTTGGAAAAAGCCTTTTCGCACTTCCATGTTAGCTGGTGGGAGGGCAAACCGGTACTATGTTCTTGTCCATTTCGGAAGGGGTAAACGAGTAAACCAACTCGGGACCAAGGGTGGAGCCCCTGAGCTCCCAACCCAAGTGCCCAACCCAAGCTATCCGCAGTATGGCAGTGGATGCTGACCCTGCTCACGTTCTGTGTCATGCACCCTCTTCTCGGGCTCAGCCACGGGATGCAACCAGAACCGCATTCTTTTTGGGCAGTGAGCCTCCGCTCCTGTGTTATTGGCTGCAGCCTGAGCTATATGATGCTTTCGGTTTGCCAGCTAGCAACCAGGGGCACACACTCGCACTCATGCTGCCATTGTCAGGCATAGCTTTCTTGCAATCCAAGACGCTTTTGCTGCGAAATGCGGCGCGCCACGTGCACCTAACATTCCCAAATGCCAGCCCAAAACTGGAAGTCACGCTGCGCGGCCCCTCTTGGCGATATGGCGAGGCACGGCTTAAACCCAATTACGAAAAGCAAGAAAGAACATGGGACACGGTCACAAGGTGGCCCAGATAGATCTGGACTGGAGCTACCTCCAAACTATGTTTTGGGACTATGGATCCTTTTGCCCCATGTCCTCCAGTAGAGAGGTTAGAATAAGGGTACCAACATTTGTCTGTAGTCTATTTTAGTAGGGGAACCCTCCCAACCAAAAAGGAATCGGTAAAAGGGCGCTACTGGGGGACCTAGATGATAATAGCCGTGGATCAAGAATTCGGTAACCAAAATGGAGCCCTTGTAAATGGAAACATGGACCAAAACCTGCGTGTGTTTTTTTGTACCGCATTCTCTGAGGGCCATGCTTGTCCTGCAAACGAGACCCCCACCCCTGGCCGCCTCACCAAGCAAACAACAGCTCGGGTCACTTCAGCCAAAAGGCAAGGGAAGTTTTGGCGTTAACCCCTCCTGTTTAATTTTGACCCACACCCATATGATAAAAGGAGGTGTACCTTCGAGCCCATGTGGCCATGGGTCAAACTCAGGTACCCCCGGTGAACATCCCAATCCCCACTAAATAGGTTCTAAAATGGGTGGTGCACCCAACCAAAATGAGATCCCATTGGTCTTGACCCACAGCGTGTGTGTGTGTGTGTGTGTGTGTGTGTGTGTGTGTGTAATGAGATCCATTCCGAGTGGCCCCTGCTGCCGCAAAGGCTCCGTCTCGCCCTCTTCCGCGGATGGCAGACTCAGAGTTTGATCCCACACCTGGCACAAGTGTAAAGAACCAAATGTCTCACTTTTTTGAGTCGGAGGGTACCCTCCCCCAGACGCTCCAGGACCCCTTTGGAAGACTTGGTCCCATTTACAGAGGCCTTCTGGGAGCTTCCATGTTAGTCTGAGGGAGTGTACCCCTTTTTTTTGTGGGTTCAAAGAAAAACCAAAGGACTACCAACAGAGAAACACTTATTTTGGCGGTCTGGCAAACACAGACACACCTAAATACCAGAATGAAACCGTCAACCAACGCGTCCAGAAGTCAAGCACCCGACATTCCGCGCAAAGCGCCGCCGCTATGGGTTGAACTTTTGTCATTCAGTGTTCCTCTGTCAAATGGCATTGTCTGAATGAAAAGAAGGCCTTTGTTCCTGAATAAAATATGGCCTTTACAAACCTTCACAAGCCGGTTTTGTGAACTTCCGATGCTTGGCCACAAGTCTTCGTGTTCCATTGCATCCATGCTCGGATTTTTCAGCGATGTAAAATCGCTAAAGTCGATGGACATGCTTCCGGGAGAGCGCTGAGAACAGAAAGCAAACACAATCTCCACATAGAGCCCATGCGCTTGTGGGCGGATCTAGATACTGATCCGCCAAAAGCAAAAAGCGAGAGAGAGGTTGCAGCGAATGATGGCAACCCGCTGTGTGTAACCTGCAGAAGGCTCAATTCGGGGACAAGTACATACGTGGGCCAAGCACCCAAAGCCCACCCAAAGAAAATCGCCGGTCCCCCAAAGATTGTTTCTGAAACAGTCTCCATGTTCATCAGCTGAGAAAGTGCCGACGTCAACTTGCATTCCATCTTCCAATGACGCGGGTGAAGCGAAAGGTAGCATGTAATTAACACGAATGTGGCATCCCAAAGCGGAAACTTCGATCGGTGGGCAAAACCCTGATTAAAACGGTTCAACAACTATTGTGTAAGTCACCTTCCTTGCGTTTGCTTAAGCCCCCTGGGAAAAACAATCCAGTAGTGATAGATTCCCTCCAAAACCAACAGGGGAAAATAACAAACATTCTTAAGCAAATGGATGCTTCAAAGGGCTCAAACAGGGTCTGCTGTTTTATCCTGATCTTCGAGACCCAATCGCCAGCCAACATCCGCTGTGCACCACTTGCCGCCAGCCGCCCTCTTCAACCAAGACACTGGGTTTCGATTTCTCGGAACCACATGGGACCTGAGTGGCGCCCCCGCAGACCCCAAGACGGCCTCCAACAGTGCAGACAAGGCAGATCTGACCCATAAAAAACCGAAAGGCCTGGATCCCTGGGGTCGTTCTTGCGAATTGCGAAAACCCTCATGCAAAGGGTAGATGCCCATGTCTGGATGACGTGAGCAATCCAATCCCAGGCCAAGCCCAGCCTTGCAGCTGCGAGAGTCTCATTCCCACTGAGAACCTCCACCAGGACAACTGGGTCGCACAAACCTCGGACGATACTTCGCCCGATGCAGGGGAAGAGCAACACATGGCTGTGGTATACTGCGGTTATCTCACTTGCGTTTGCCCGAGATTACTTTTTCAATGCCGAATAAAACGTGGGGTTCGATGTTCACACATTATTTCCGAAAGACCTGAAGTTGAATGGCACGAATACCCGCTTGGTAGCGGCATTTTTGTGTTGCTGGATTTGGGATTTTACCAGCTCCAGTTGTGGTAACTCGAGAGTTCCCAGCATCCGGTCTGGGCCTTGGAGCCGCTCTGGGCGTTTGGTTGAGCCATCGGCTGGTAGCCGGCGGCCAAGCAACCAACCCACCAACCAACCAGATCTAAGGACAAACAAGACCGAGTTTGGCAACAAACTCAGCCCGCCCCGAAGAAAAACACGACTTTGTTCTTCCGGAGTTAGTCAACTGGAACTGTTGCTCAAGCAAATTTGGCACTGCATGCCTTAAACTCGTGCAAAAAAAAACAGCTCTGCCACAGATTGTTAGCAAGACCCCGGCGAACTTCCACATGGCTACCGGAGGCTCAAAGGAGCAGGCTGGACCGGACTGAAGTTTGCGTAAATTGGGAGGGGCCAAGGTACCTACAAGCACCGCTTGTTCAAACCCAACCGATTTTATGGGAGCAAGTTCTTCACCAGGTTGGTTGGCGAACCGGGAATCCTGGACTCGCACTGCACATCCTGATTTCCTACGGAAGGTGGGTCTAAATGAAAGCAGACTTCAAAACAGTTTCCTGGAGGGCAACCCAGGAAAAAACTCAAACAGGGCTCAACCGTCCTACGGCTGGTCCTTGCAAAACAGCGCTGGGCTGCAGTTGGCAGGCCGTCTGGATGGCTCGAATCCATCCACTTCTGCCGAACGCCTGGGATCGCTGCGCAGCGCAGACAACATGAGCCAAGCACATGGACTGACATCTGAAGCACGAAGCACATGATATCACATGATATGTGTCCAAGCTGGTGGCTTGGTGGGATGCTGGTCCTGCCAGCAGAAGAAGCTTGACTCACATGTGGATGTGAACTAGGTTTTGTCGCAAAATTGTACCTCTCAAACACCCTGCCTATCCCTGCCTGGTCTGAAACAGTCACAAACAAGCGAATGAAGTTAAGCTTTCTAGAAAAACTCTTGGATGGCCTTCCTCGAGTGCGCATGCGTTGGCTGGGCTTGGCAAGGGTGTGCCTGGAGGATTTGCATCGGCTTGCGCCATCATGCTTCGTTTGGTGACGTGGAGCTCCCGTGTGCAAGCCAAATGAAGCGGGAATGCAATGATACCCCTATCTCATTGAAGCATCGTTTGACCTGAAGATGGACGAAGAGTACGGGCAATAGGATCCCTGAACAAGGGAACAAAAAGCTGTGGTTTGCGAACCCTCCAGCTTTCTGTGACATGAAGGACATGGCTTTGCCTCAAGCGTATTTGCCATCAGCAGACGCCTAAAACCACAACTTCCCCCTCGAATCCCTGAGTGGTGCTTGATTCCCTGTAAGACTGGCCCCATTATTCTACCAGTGTCAAAGTCGCGCCCCCAAGTGGCAGTTCAAGGAGACACCAACCCAGTTTCTGACTTTAACCCACAGCAATGGTCAACATGATCACCCAGTAAGACCAACAGTGGAAACAATAACACATATAAAGCATATACCTCTCTTGCGGCAAACGGAAACCTTGCCACTGAACCCCCGCAATGGAAAACAACCCATTCCAAACTTGCGCTGAAGCAAGCGAAAGCCCGGCTACCGCACCTGACAGCGGGTCACTTCCAGGACCCAACGGCAAGTTCCATGTCCATTGGAGGGAGGGTGACCATGTTTACTTTTTGTTGACCCTGCTGTGTAGGGCTCCTTTTTCGCCCTGGTCAAGGGTCAAGGGTCCATCAATTGGAACTCGGTTGCTTTCTGCTCCCCTGCTAACAGTTCAACTTTTAGTGGTTTAATACGAGAAACCCATGGGCAAAAAGTTATTCAGTCCCAACATCCCGTGGCAAAATGCACCCCAAAGGTCAGCAAATGGAAGCCCTGACTATCCTGGGCCCTCAGATCCCCCGCCCGAGGTTTAACTTCTAGAGGGTTAAATGGAAACCACCACTAAATTCACCAAAAGGCATCAAAAAGCTAAGGAACCAGATGGCTGGGAGCCATCCCCATCGAACGCCGACGACCTCCGAGGCGCCGTAGACAGTGGTGCCCACCGCCGCGCCCACCATCATGCCCGGCACGCCGCAGAGCGCCCCCGCCGCCATGGGGCCCACGATGGCCGCGGAGGCCACCGGGGTCTGGTGGGCGCTGCCTCACACCCGGAAAAAGGTGGCAGGAGGTGTCCTGTTGGAAACATAGATGGGTTTCCCTGGTAAATGGGTCATAACACCCATTCTAAACCAGCGCCTTCTATTTTTAACCACGTACCTAGAAAGGGACACCTGTGGTTCCAGGGCACAGCTTGATTCAAGTGAACACCCGGTCGACCATGTGAGCTGCCGCCACACCCTTTGCGCGAAACTGGAATCTCTCCCAAGCCTTCGTTTTAAAGACTCACCTTCGTTTCTGAGGTCGTTCCTGACATCTATCGAGTGGTATCAAGTCTGTGAACTGTTCATTCCCAAGTCTTGGCCTGACCTCCGGTTCCCTACTTAAACGCCAACTTGGATACCCCCAGCTCCTTGGCTCCCTTCCAACCACCAGCTAGAAATGTGAGCTTTCTTTGGAACCGGTATGAGCCTACGAAAAAAGAACAGAACCAACACCTAAAACCGTGCCAACAACAGTGATGTTGAATAAAAAGGGGTCGGCCTAAGCAAACTTTGCAGGTCTCAGCATGTGTGTCAAGGTTGGTTGCACGGTGCCCTGTAAGTAGCTTGCAAAGAGCATTGAAGTGCGACATGAGCAAATGGCAGTGAGAGATGGGTCTCACTGTCCCAAGGCTCCCGGTTAATCACTTTAGAGAGCTGCGTGCTCTTATGAGCGTTTGTTGAAAGAGTTGCGCTCGCAAGTTGTGTTGTGTTTTGCTAAGCGAAAGGTCACGTTGTTCAAAATCTTGGCCTTGCCATTCCCAATGGGTCAATTCATGTGCAGGGAGAAGGGGGCAGAACAAGGCTGACTTAAATCTCTTTACTGTAGGTAAAGCCTGTCATGGGGTCGATGCCATGGTCACAATAGGTTGTATTCCTTCCGGACGTCGCCTCGGGATCCATCCATGTGAGGTGTTGCCCCAAAGGTGAACCATGCCCTCTTATAAGTTGGTTCATCCCGGGTTCCATTCCTTCTCCATCAACATGGGACCCACCAGAGGGTCCCTTGTAAAGGAAAAGCGTCTTCCAGCACCCCGGAGCTGCTTCCACTGGGGCTCCCCACGTCGAAGCAGCTCTGGGACGTTCACGGCCTGCAACGGACAGAATCAACAAACTAACTTGGCTCGGAAAAAGGTTTACCCAAACTGAAAAGGGCTACCCGCGAGAAAAGCAACACTTTCTAGGCTGTGCGTTTTGAGGGAGCCTTTTCTGCGTTGTTCCTATCTGAAAAAAGGGACACCAAGGGAAGACCACCTGTTGTTTGGCGAGGGTTCACCATTTGGAGACAAACCCAACATCAGTATCAAACACCTCTCAGTCTCTCTCTCTCTCTTTCTCCCTGCCCCTCCATCGTGAGAAATGTCATCGGCATCAAACAAGTGAAACCCCCTATTTTGCTGATCTTGTTGAAGGGAAGGCAACAACGAAGCTGCCAATGGAGCTGTCAAAACCTGGTCGTAAAGTGGCCTACAAAATCCATGTAAACAACCAAATGGGCGGCTGCATCCATGTATGGTTGGCAACCTTCTCTTTCTGAGTGTTGATTGCACCCTATACGACAATGCCAGTTTCACAATAGGGCAACCCCGCAACCCCCCAGATGGGTTCTGGGTGGCGTCTTATCCCTTGCCGTCGGGTGCCTTGAAAAACAGAAGCTCCGTGTTTCTGCGACAACCTAGTGCGGACAGGGCACCTTCGTCACCACCTTGGTGGTATGTTGGTTAAAAGCCCGCTCGCCAGGAGAAGCATTACAACCGAATCGGGGTGTTGTTTGAGGACACCAATTTGCTGCGGTGGGTGAAAGCGAAACCAAAAGGAAAACCATCTTCACGCTTCCTAAGAGCACCCGAATCCTCACAAATGCAGAGCCGGACACGTCCACTTTCTTCTTTTTTTTGCGCCATGATTTATTGCGCCTAGGGCCACAAGGCAGGGCGGGGATCGGGCGCAACAGCCCTGGCGAGGAGCATGGCCGAACCTGTCCGCGAAATAGAAAGGACGCGCTCTCCAAACCTGTCCTGCTGGGTGGCAGCGCGCGAGACAAGAGCGGCCCCAAAGCAAAGGACGCACGCTTGCACTCCTTGCCTCCAAAGGGCGTGTACCGCATGCCCCGATAGGCCAGCCAAGTGTAAAGCGGAGGGCAACACAGATCATGTCAGGTCGGCCGCACACATTCCAAGCCACATCCCGGGCAAGTGGAGCTCCACATGGGGTCCGAAGGCCTGTATTCCAAGGGAAGGTTAGATCCTGAGACAGGTAACCAGCTAAGTTACACTCAAAGCCCTGTATTGCAACGGCCGACCCAGAGCCATGTAGGTGGCCATGGGTCAAAACCCATGGACCCTCAGTGGACATCCCAATCCCAACTAAAATAGGTTCTAAAAAGGGTGGTGCACCTAAGGACCTATCCCAAATTGGTACCATTGGTTTTGAACCATGGCCAGGTGGCTGCACCCATTCATGGCCCATGGGGCTCGCTTCACCTTCCCCCGGCTTTTCTCGCCGGCGCCTTGCAGCCGAGTGTCCAAGCCCAAGGCATGCGGCAGCTCTAGGCCCTTAGTGAGGGGGAGGGGTCTGGGGGTTTGCTTGCTTGCTTACTTACTTACTTATTCACTTACTTACTTATTCACTTACTTACTTATTCACTTACTTACTTACGGGCCTGTGTTTTTTTTTTGCGAGGGGGGGGGGGGGGGAGGTTAGTTACTTGCTTACTTACGAACCTGGGTTCCTGATGCCCTGACAAGGGTTCTTTTTTCCAGGGGGAAACTGATCTCCCAGGTACCCTTCCACAGGTGCCGCGTTACTGCGAGGAGGGGCTCAAGCTCTTGGAATGGGGTCGTGGGGTACCTAACCACAAGTCCGCATGATAGCGGTAGACGATTGGAAATTTCAAAAGCCCCTGACATTATGGGAGGAATCAAAGGGTTCTAGAACTGGGTTCGGAAAAGATGTCCTAGCTTTTACCAATCCTGGAAGGGCGGTTGGAAGACTACACTTCAGCAGATTAACTTGAAGCCACACATGCCATAGTTTTAGAGGGTCTTTTTGGCGCAGGTCCCCATTTTTGGCCCCCACGTTCATTTGCAAGGGGGTAACATGCCAAAAGCGATTGCCCACCTCCACCAGCCCGCCCAACAGCTTTGCTTGGGGTAACTTGACAAAAGCAATCACAACCCAAACGGGGTCAACCCATGTCTTGTGGCAGAAAGGTGCTTGTTTGGACCATGTGGCCCTTCCGGGGAAGAGGAAACTCCAGCCCAACCTGCGAACCCTCAAACCCAACTCAAGTCCACCAGCACCACCACCCCCAACCGCTTTGCACCGGTTTGCTAAGTTGATCTCCTTTGGGTATTGGGGGTCATTTGGCAGCCATCTTGGGGGGAACCTTGGCAAATGATTTGGCATAAAATATTTGCTCTGTATTACAATTATTTAATACTTATCCGTGTTTTGTTCTTTTAAGCCTATAATGCGAAGACATAAATAACGATATTCGCCTGGAAATTTATTTTTATATTAGATTTATATATAGATTTGCAATTTCAATCGTACTCGACTTGTATTCTGGAAATCAGCAGAAAATCCTTATAAATAGATTCCTTTGTTAAATTGTTATTTAACTCTTTTTCATGTTTGGAACCCCCGATGTGACACGTACCCAATTAGGGGGGGCTGTCAAAGATATATGCCTTGCGCCGCCAGGAAGAATCAGGAACCGGGGGATATCAAACAGGGGCCAAATCTACTTCAAAAACCTGTGGCACCCTCCCACCAACTAACATGGAAGTGCAAAACAAGGCCATTTCCCAGAAAAAGACCTCGTCCTTCTACGGGGGCTCTGGGCACTTCCATGCTGGCTGGTGGGAGGCTCACCCCATTTCGATCCATTTCGGTGGCTTCCGATGGATCCGATGGATCCGAGGGGCGGGGCGCTCCGAGGCCAGGCGCAGCTCGTTGAACTCCTTGGTGCCCCGCAGCTCCCAGGGCACCAGCCCCGCCTTCCGCGCGATGCTGGAGGGGCCTCCGGCTCCGAGTCCGAGTCCAAGTCCGTGGCCCGCGGGAAAGACGTGAAACGCGTGGCTGTTTGATTTTTGTGGCGCTTGACCTACTTGCAAAGCCGGAAAAACAGGCAGAAAAGCTGCGGCTTGTTGCGACAAGCCGGGATGTTTTGGGATGTTGTCCATGTCCGCTTCCGGAAAAAAGACGAGCTCGCGTGTTCTCCCCAGCAGCCCCCCAAAAAAGCCCCCGCAACCCTCCGGAACCCGCTGAAAGCTGCTCCGAACTGCTCCGAAGCCTATTCGGGCAGTGGTCCGAAAGCTTTCAGCTGCTGGGCAAAAAAGAACGGCAAGGGTTGTTCCTTTTTGCTTGGAGCGTCCCCAGCTGCCACTGACCCGATTCGAAACGTGTGGGAAGGGCACTCCAACGGTCATCCGCGTCAAAGCAGCATCACCATCATCATCAACCATCAATCCTCATCCGCATAGTGACAACCTAATCATCCTGATCATCATCATCCTCATCACCAGCAGCATCATCATCCTCATCATCAGCATCATTCATCCTCATCCTCAGCAGCAGCAGCAGCATCATCATTGTCGTCATCATCGTCATCACCGTCAACACTATCATCACCGTCATCGCCGTCATCGCCATCATCCTCATCCCTCATCCACTTATCCTCATCATCTTCATCCTCATCCTCGTCCTCGCCCGCATCCTCATGATCATCCTCATACTTATCATCCTCATCGTCATCGTCATCGTCATCATCATCGTCATCCTCATCCTCATCCTCATCTTTATCCTCATCTTCATCCTCAGCCTCATCAGATCATTCTCATCCTCATCCTCATCACCATCACGATTGTCCTCATGCATTCCTACCTTTTTTTGTAGGTAGGAGTCAAAAGTCACGTTAGGCCCTGGTCATGATGCTGGGGATGCCAGAAAACGATATTTAGTGTGTGTGTGTGTGTGTTGTCTCAGGGAGGTCGAGTCTCGTGCTGTTTGCTATACCTATGGACACGAGTCAATTACAAAAGTCCCCTCTTGAAACCTAAAACCACCTCTGTCCCTCAATGAACCTTGACAAATCAACGACATTAGGGGTCCGCAGCACCGGGTGGCAGTCCGGAAAGATTCTATTGGTTGTGGGGGACCAATCAAAGGCGATGGTTAAAACTTTGGGCTTGAATCACAGGACTTTACTCCCCTCAGGTGGCACCCCTCAACTGAAGCCCTGTGTCTTGAGAATGAGTCCGTACCTTCGAAAAGGCTAGGCCGCTAAGCCCGCGGCTCATCTCATGCAAATCGCTGGCAAGGTCGAGGAATTTCCGAGTCACCTCAGCAAGTCCCCATGGGCCGCCTGGCCCCGAGTCACACACCCCTGGTGGATTAGTAGGGGCTGGGGGATCCATCACTTGAGGGGAACACCCAGACATAGGACAGGTTTATTCATCTTTAGTCCCGACACCTGGTGTTCCCTTGTAGTGGGGATCCATCACTGGGGGGAACACCCCCTGTTCCCCTGTTGGTAGGACGGGTTTAATAATCTGTGATCCACACTACGCTTAAACAACCTCAACAAGCTCCCAATGAGCCAAGCATCGCAATCATCGCACACTATGAAGTTGCAGCTGTGATCGCAGTGCCATCGAGCCTGCCAGCTCTCCTCAGCTGTTTTCCGATGCGCGTCGCGTTACCGTGAATCCAAACCGGAGACAACAACTTCACTCCTCGGCTCTCGGCGGAGAGGGCTCTAAGCGCCGGGCGATCTTGCGGTCACAGAGGCTGCAAACCTGGTGGCGCGAGACTCTCAGGTTCTCCGAAACCAATCACGGCGATGCAAGGGGATGACTTCACTTGGGGGCCCTTCTGGCTGAAGGGAAACCAAGCGGAAGACCACAGTCGCAAGAAACCTCCAACATCGCGCATCGCCGAGAAAGCGCGTGCTTCCAGGAGCAATTCTCCGAAAAACGCCAACGGAATGACGTCACCCTTTGGCCACGATAATGACAATGGAAACCCGGCAACGATACCACCTGCAGTTGGCGAAGTGAGCCGGTTGAGATCAAAGCCCATCACTTGGGGACCCATCCGGTATGACCCCACCAAAGGTCGATCAATCCCGGGTCAAGTTCGCCAAACCAAACTGCAGGCAAGGAGCGGTCCCCAAAATATACAGCCTTCTTCGGCACTGCTCGGTTTCCTGCGCGGCTCAAATGTGCAAGAGCTCCCATCCCTTGGAGAAGCCTTGTGTGGAATGACCTAAGCATCTCATGCGGTTTCCTTTAGACCCCTAATGTTGACCCCGGATGGCTTTAAACCCCTGTTTATTTATATGGGGGTGTCAACCTGGTTGTGAGGATTTATCACTTTGGAGCGAAACACCCCCATATCTATATATAAACAGTGGTTTATTAATCGGGGTCAGCATTAGCTTTCCCAAAGCCCCACTTGCTGCCCTGATGCCCTGACAGGCAATGTTGGCTGAAAGCCGGCTTTTCGGGACCTTTGGTGCCAGTCTCCTCCATCTCAGTGATGGGATGGCCATGGTTGCAGCGTAACAGGCACCTGAGGCCCGTTGGACGGCAACATGTCTTGCTGTCCAGCACGGCAATGCTGCAACCTGGCAAGCACAAGCTTTTGTCACATAATCTAGTTCTAGTTTGTTCTTGGTATTCCACAAAGGTTGCCTTTGCAATTCCAAGAGCAAAACACGCAAGGCCGAACTAGACCATGCGTCGTTGTTGTAGAAGCCCCAATTGGCTCCTGGCTCCTGCTTGCAGCCACGCTGCTCTGTCGACATGGCGGGCAGCGTGGAGGGATCAGCCCGCCAGCAACCTTTAAATTTACCGTGCGCTTCTCATGTTTCTTGCTGTGTATGCTGTCGTTCGTCTTTGCTACTCAAAGCTAGGCCACCCTGCATGCTCTTATCGTTGGGATGCCTTCTGTGCTCATGGGTGCAGTTTCGGGAGCTGAGTTTCGTGGCTGCTCTCTGACGAGCACGTCAGCACACCTTAAGCAAAGCAGCTGAATGTTGAAGCATCTGCCAATGTTTGCGTGTCACCCCTGACGGCTTCCTCACGCCCCTTCGCTTTCGCGTCTCTTTTCGCCGGTCGGCAGATGTCCTATTCTGAGGGAGAAGATGCGGGGTCGACCGGCGGCGCGCCAAACGGGGCCAACTCAGAAGCCGTTGCGGCCCCAGACCACCATAGCGATGGACATGGAAAACATCGAGAGCAGCACCACGAAGGTGATGTTGGGATTCCTGACCAATGGCTAGGTCCTCCAGAGAGGTTAAGGGTACCAAGTGTTTTTCCTTTTTTTTTCTGTAGTCTATTTTCGTAGGGGAACCCTCCCCAAAAAAAAGGTAAAAGGGGCACTACTGGGGGACCTAGATGGTATCCAATGGTCCGATAACGTCACTCCAGATCTACCGGGCCACTGTCACATGATGTTCTGGCAAGGGCCATGAGGATGTAAGGCCATGGCCTTGCTATGGACTATGGCTCAGGAGGTGGGGGATCCCCGATTCCATTGGAGAAGAGAACCTCCAGTTAAGGAAACATATTTCTCTTGGTGCCCGTTCAAGGCGTTCCCCAAAAGCAAAGTGTCCTTGGATGTTACATCTTGGGGTGCATCAGGGGTGCCTTCTCAGGGATAGCCCACGGGCAAAAACGATTTCCCTTAAATCAAAACAATGTGGCTCACATGTGGGCCTTTCTGGGGAAAAATTGCAAAGGTTGGCAAAGAGTCCACCCATGGAGCGTTTCAGCACAACTTCAAGCCAGCCAGCAAACCCGCTAACCAGCTAACCAGCAACCCATCCATCCTCCCAGCCACCAGGACCAAACAAGGAAGAGAAGTCGGTGCTCAGCAAAAAACGTTTCATGATTAGAGTTAGGCCCATCTATAGAATGTATATTTTATTTTTTGCTTCACTTTGAGTCGCTGGTAAAATGTAAAATGTATCCTAAGTCTACCCCGGGTTTGGATAGAAACCAAAAAACACAGGAGAACGGTCACCGGGGCTCTCCAAGGGCGACAGGTCAGCCGTGAGCAACGAGGCGTCCATCGGCGCAAGCCCCGCCGTTGCCGCTGCTTCCATGGCCTCCGCTCCGCGGGCCATTTCCACCTCACAGCGGTCCCTTCCATCAGCTTCCCTCTAATTGGTGGTTTCTCTCTCTCTCTCTCTCTCGTGCCATCGGAATCCGTCCCACTGGCGCGGGGGCACACGAACCAGCCGGCAGCGAGACAAGGGAATGGCATTCCTAATTGGTTTGGAGCCCGGTGCTTGGGGAGTTGGGCCCCCGGTGTTTGTAGAGGGTAGATGGGACAAAACGCCATTCCACCAAGCCACCCATCGGAGGGAAGCTGATTCCATGCAAGACATGGGGCTGTGGTATCCACAGGCCAAAACGGGTAAGAAGGGTTAACCCCCAAAGCTGTAGTAAGAAACGACCACCCCCACCCCACCTGCACTGCGTAGCACGCTCGACAGCGAATCCCCGCATGCATCCCACAGGAGCGGTCAACAATGCTGCAGCATCAGCCTCTGCCCGTGCAACTTGGAATGACCATGGCCTATTTCAGCTCCGTTGTTTACAGAATTTGATCTGTTGCGCAGCCCCTCAAATTGTGCCGATATCAACCGTGTTGACTCGCCACATATCAAAGATGATGGCGCCAAACGCCACTTGCAACAGCTCGTCCAAACTAGATGTAGGTCCCTGAATCCCTGGTGTCACACAACCCGAAACCACCTGCGATGGTGCCGCGGCGCCGGAGCAACGAAGCCCAACTTGGCGACAAAGCCCAAAATGCAGCATGCCGCCAGCAAGACTGTCACCGTTGGCGAGCGGCGCATCGCGAATGTTCCTGCGAAATGGGACGCTGAATGCAGCGGACGCTGCACCCCCCAGCTTCGGAAGTGGGCAAATAGAGGCTTAACTATGGCCCAGCCAGCACGGCTCACACCTCTCTCAAGATAGGTTCGGGCAGATCACCGCGCGAAGCGTCAGGGAAAGCGGAAGCGAACCCAGCAACACTAGCCATCCTGGAGACTTCGGAAGTACATGGAACCGGCCTCCAAGTGGCCTGAAAGGGGGGTCGACTTTGACACAAGATGATAATCCCAAATCCGTTGCTTGTACTGGGTGTTTCTCAAAACTGGGCTCCCAGAAGCTGGTTGGGCCTCCCTTTAAGTACCTTTTTTCAAAGGGGGTCCACAACTTGCGAGAAACTTCCCCATTTGTTCCGGGCGTGCTATTCGGCAGGGGAGCACCCCCTGCCACAGATGCCAAGCCTCAGGCACTGCCGTGGAGAGGTCGACTGGATCCAAGCTGCTCTGAGCCAAACTGCCGGCTTCCTGCATCCCAATGCGCTTAGAAGTCCTGTTGTAGACTTGATGCTAGGTGTCCAAGAGGGCGACATCTGGAAAATAAAACACCCATCCTCTGTTTGCTTCCTTTCGGGAGTAATTTGGACAAATCACAGCCCTGAGACAAACCCAAGTCTCCGAGGAAGCAACACCAAGTGGCTCTCTGGAACCCGTGCACACGAAAATTGGCTGGCTAGTCCCTGCACTTCCGCGCGGGCCCACAAACTGGAACATGTGCCTCACGCAAGTAGGTCATGTGACGGTGTGGTTGCATTTGCTATCATCTGCTTCTGTTATTCACAAACTATATGGTTTGCACCTCATTCTCATATCATAGCACTCCCTGAATACTTGCACGGAACAAATCCCATCAAATCCCGACAGGAAATGAAACCTCCCAAAACACCAACTTTTTGAGGAGCCTGACTTCAGGGCCCCGCCAAGTTAACATGTGGGATTGCAGGGGGCCGTTTGGGTCCATGACTTCGGCCGAAGCTGAATTAAGGGCAATTGCACGGCTTTTGGCATAAGGCATTAATATTCGCTGGGCGTTCTTCACCCAGCTGCAAGCTGCAAGCTGTGGCTTGTCAACTCTTGGGGCCCCTCGTCTGCTTGTTGCTTTGAGAGTGTGGCTGCCTTCGGGGTCCTTTGATTTTAAGGTGGGCCTGGGGGGCTCCCAAAAGGAACACCGCCTTGCCCTCCCTCCCCCCGTAGCACTTGTGGGAGGGTATCTGAAAGATCACCCTCCCAAAAAGAGAAGCCTCTGCCAGGCACCAAATGTGAGGGGGGGGAGGGGGTGGTAGAGGGGGGGGTGCACCACTCATTGCGCGAACAGCTTCGCAGTCCCTGACGAACACATAGCTTGGCAATGGTTCTTGCCTATGCCCCTTGCAAGGAGCCATGGCTACCTCAGCCGCTCTCAAGCAAGACTAATGTGTTTGATAGTGGTCCATAATTATTTACCGCAAGAAACCACAATATGCAAAAACAAAAACGGGCAAGCGTCTTGCCCAGCAACTTTGCCTTCAATCGCGGGCTTGCAAGGGGCCATGCACGAATTGCTGGCAACACCTCTGGAAAGTCCAAAACACGTCTCAGAAGAGATCCCAGTCGAACCAAAGTCGCCTCACCCTGACGCGCGCGTCACGCGCTTTGGCGCTTTGGCCTTGGACACCCCGGCGGTCAATTGGCCATGGGTCAACAGCCAAATCGTACCCCAGTGAACATCAACCAATCCCCACTAAAATAGGTTCTCAAATGGGTGGTGAATTCACCTACCAACCAAAATGGGATCCCATTGGTTTTGACAACCACGGCCAAATGGCTTGTTCAGTGATCTTGTTTGGGCCAATGTCTTGGGGCCCAGTTCGCCCGAAAATCTGCTTCGGGCCCTTCGGGGTGATTCCCATCTACCCTCTACAAGAACCAGGTGTTCAATTCCCCAAACCACCAATCTAGACCACCAATTAAGGGCAATGAGCAAAGGACAAGGGGCCATGCAAGTGAACACCAAAAGCTGGATGAACTGATGGGTCAAAGGACACCAGGCCGATTCGCTTTGGGACATCTAAGCTATATCCAGTCAAAACATGACACAAGCCACGAACCCCCACTGGGCGTCAGAAACTGGTCGGGTGTTTGATGGCCTCAAAACATGACACGAGAAGCGAAATTTCACTGGGCGTCGGAAACTGGCGGGTGTTTGATGGCCTCAAAACATGACACGAGCCACGAACCCCCACTGGGCGTCGGAAACTGGCGAGTGTTTGATGGTCTCAAAAAGACATGGCAAATCTAAGAAGCCACAGGAAAATCTACAGAACATTAACATCCTCGCATCCGGTGTTTGGTCAACTTCCGGTAGGCCTTCCTGCTGGTTTCCATGACTCTGGAAGCTCCAACCACTCAGTGGCCCCGACCCAGAAATAAATTACAGGTTAACCGGCCATGGAGCCATGGGGCCATGGCTACAAATGGACTAAACAGGGGACACTTTCCTGGTTGAAAGGGAGAAATTCCGACACTACCATCAGAATGTTAATCCATTGGCCCTCGGCTGCCTGAAGCTCCAGAAAGACATCAGTGCTCTTCGGCACCTGCCAAAGGGTGTGACGAAAGCCGGCGGAGCCTATCCTCCTGCATTTTGAAACTCGAAGATCAAATGGTTTGCTCTCAACGCAAAGGGTGGCACGCGTGTCAGGCTTTAGGGGGTGTGTACTGATCACTTTGCGGGTCGGCAAGTTGTTCTTGAGGAAAGGGCTTGCAAACTTGAAGCTGCCTTCTTACGGCGGCCTTTCCACCGAACCAACCGGCTGTCACAGCCTGACATCGGACTCATGGCACTCCGCCTCAATGGAGTGGCCCACTGAGCCCCCCAAGCGCGAGGCAACTCGCCGGCCTTGACACCTCTTGAAGCATCGGAAATCCACGAAGCTGGCGCCTTCCACCTGCGCCTGGAAAACGACTGGCCGGCACCCTTCCCAGTCAGCGGAAATGGGAGCACAACAGGCTCATGAGAGCACAGTAGGCACGATGCCATGCTGCAGACTCAAACCAAAGCACAAGGCCATGCTTCACCCAGCTGGCTCTTTTACAGGCTTGTGAAGACCTTTTTTCGCAACCTTGGTCCCATTGGGGGCGTTTTCGTATCCTTGCCTGACCTGTGCGCGCGTTTTAGGCCACCTCAGCCAAGGAGCCGATCTGAAATCCAAAAAGACCGGTACCATTCTGTGGCCGACTTCGGGGAACCGCGAAATGTGGACCAAACTTGTGGATCGATAGGGGGGGTGGTTTAGAAGGATCACCGCTAGAATGGGGCACCCTGGACCGTTGACTTCTCCTGGGGATCCAAAACACACCAGGGTGGAAGCAAATAGCTGGCACACCCGTTGTGCGAAGCAGGGATAGGCTAAACCAAAATGGGAGGATCCCGCCATCTGAACCGGAAAAGCCCCAGCCTCGCTGTGGGCGCAGATCGGCGTGGGCCAAATCTCCTCAGCTCGCTGTGTTCCAACGATCCCCGCGCAAACTCCCCGAATGCACGCAAGCTCTGAAGACGCCTGTCTTGCTGCTGGATGGAAGTAACTGTGCTGGCGAAATTGATAGTGGTACGCAAACCATTCAAACCATTCATGGATGCGTGTGCACGGTGAGCCGGAATTTGGCCACCAGGTACGCATGGACAAATGGATGCTGTCAATTGACCAGTCAGATTGCAAAGGGTTGCAATCGACCCCCGGCTCCGTGCGTGAAAGAGGGTTCTGACAAGAGGAACATGTCACTTGTGTAGGCTGACCCGAAAGATGCAGACTTGTTGTTTGCCAAGTGGTCTTCCCAAAGACCAAAGTCCAAGAACTAAGGGAGTGAGCTATGTCCTCCGGCTCGCTTTCAGGTTCCAGGTGGGCATGTGTCAAAATATATGGGCGAAAGGTGGGTTTGCCTTTTGGCCACGCCCAAAAAGGGTACCAATTCCAAAACACACACACACACACACCAAAAGGGCATCTCAATGGAATCTGCGGTGCAGATATTCCCATACGACGCCAACAGAACCCCGCAATTTTGCTGTCCGAAGGTTCGCATCGGCCCTGGTCGGCGCGGAACTCAAAGCCGTAGCAGAAGGTGTGCCAGTCATTGCAAAGCCTCAGCCGTGCTGTCTTTCAAGAGGGGACCCGGACCCCCAGAACATCCGTGTTGAGCTTGGTTCGCCTCAAATCATAAGGACACACCCATTTTTTGGGTAGTTTTCTCCAGGAGCCTTCACCCCTGATTGAGAAATGGTCAGTGTCCTTCCGTTTTAGCCAATTAGACTCCGTCGAATCCTCTGGTCAAATTGGCCCACCAGTTTTCGGCGAGCAATTCCCGGGGGTGACTTTCCGCCGAAGAAAAAACAACAACAAAAACCCGGGGATTGCACTTTGAAAGAGTGATGGGAAGCAACAAGGAGGCCCAGCAAGCTTAGCACGTGCTTGGCACCAATCCCAATTAGTAAGGGCTACGGCTACTTCGCCCTTTTGCCATTTCAAACCAGGGAAGCATGACTGCCCTGTGGCCACTCTGACTATTTAAGGTCAGGGTGTCCCCGAGGCCGCTTCAACTGGCGCTGGCGCCGGCACTGTTTCTCCGCTGGCAGGTGAAAACCAACTCGAGTGACTGGAGCTTTGGCGTCTTGCGGGGCTCGGCCCCCCAAACAGCCAAGGCGCAGGAAGGTGCTTTCCATGTGCTTGTGGCGCTCTCAGTTCGGGTTGGGCTTTCCCGTTTGGCTCCCTTTACATGGCCTTTAAGTTCCAGCCCAACATTCATTTCCCCAGCCGTAATCGTATGAAAAATATTGCTTCTAGGGTTTGCTTAAACAATAGGGCTTTCCTAATGGGTCGTCCCAACATTCGCCCAACCCTTGCAATCGGCCTATCGGCCTATAGGGCCTATCGAGGGCACTACCCAGCTGCCACACATTGGCAGATGCCGAAGCCGAAGCCACGGCCTTCTGGCACCAGCTCAGACTTGCAGTGGTCCATTCCTGAAAAACCATCCGCCGTGGCTCAAAACACCAAAAAACAAAACAACATAGGGCACCGTGGTCCCGTGGTCTTTCAAGGACCCGCAAAGACGCAGGGCCCTTTTTGATTTTGCCCTTGGTTGACAAATTGAAATCTGCCAAAAGCCTGCGTTTTCAGGGTCCAGGTGCACCTTGATGATACATCTGAGGCAGTGGCCATCGAATATGGTCTCGATGAGCGAGTACCGATTTGCACCTTAAAGTCAGAAAGCCTGACCCGTTTGTTTCTGCCTCACCCACAAAAAAAAAAGCTGTACAAATACAGAACAAAGTGGCCCATTCGGTCCACGTGGGTGCAGAAGCACAGCTTCCACTTGCCATAGCTCAGCCTCCCTCTAATGGGCGCTTTGGATTGGTGGTTTGGTGGTCAAGGAGGGGTTCCTCGTGCACTTCTACAAGAACCGGGGTTCAAATCCCAAACCTCCAATCCAAACCACCAATGAGTTTGGGAGGCTAAATAGCAATGTCTTTTTCATCCAACAGGCTGCAGCTGTTCACTGAGCACCGGACAATTGGAATCCTCCGGATCGATGCAAACGGTCACGTCGTCCCTTGGATCTGTCAAATGAGTTTGCGTGAAGGCGCTTGGATGAAGGATGCCAACAGAAGCCCCGCATGGAGCGCGTAAACCGTGCTGATGGTTCTGCCTGGAAATGGGCCTGTGTTTGGCTGCTGGGCATCCCTTCTGAATGGCCTGAAGCAAACATGTCTTTGCCTTACATTGATTTGTCGGAATTGGCTTTCTGGAAGGTGTTGCAGAAACACAGCTCTGGACCACTGGAAGCAATGTTGAGCGCCCACAAGTTGATGGCCTGGCTCGAGCATGCCTAGTCAGCGCTCCTAGGATACATGCCCTGGATACATGTTGAACCTGTTGGGTCCACCCTGCTATACATGTTTTTCTTATACGGGGTCATGGTTGGGTAAAGGACTCCCCTTCCCCCTAAAACATCAGAAACACAGGGCACAGTCAGGATGCGCTTTGGCTGGCCACCGTGCTGCCGGTGCCGAGCGGATTCGGACGGGGGAGCGTCAAGACCTCCAAAGCACAGGCGTCCCGACCAGTGGCGGGCTGGGAGGTGGGCAAATCCACCTCCAGAGGGGGCGAGAACAGTATCGGACCCAGTTCACTTTGTCGGACCCAGTTCTTCCAACGCCTCATTTTCGAGCAGCTCATTTATCTAAGCAAGCGGCTGCAGGAAGTACGGAAGTGAGCTCTTCTGTATTTTTCTGTTCACCATGTTAACCATGTTTGCGATTCACAAACTCAGTCGGTGTTTGGCCAACTTGTAGATCCAGCTGGTTTCCAGGAGCTTTTCGGCCAAGTGTCACCCTGCCACCGGGGAAGTACGCCTCAGAGCCCACGTGGTGGTAGATGGGCAGCGGTGGCACGTGGACCACCGGGTCTCGGGCCCGGGTGATGCGGTACATGGCCACCGAGCGCTGGAAGAGGCTGGCCTATGACTTCCACATCACCACCGGGACCCAAGGGTTTATCGAGAGGATACATTTTAAGCCGTCACATAGGGGTGATACAACAAACGAACCTCAAATTGAGCCCCTGGAAGACAAATAGCCCTCCCTGAGGATTCCTCTTGCAAGTTCCATGACTTACCTTGCAGATCTCCTGGTAGCTGCTTAGCTCCGTCTTTAAACCGGCTCCCTTCCAACTGCCAGCTAGTCTCACTTGGCCAGTGACCAGCCAAAAAAAGTGCACACTTTCAGGGCCACCACAAAAAATGGAGAGCCACCAAGGAAAAAATGTGCAAACTGCGCCCACTGGCTGGGTGAGTAGTGACTTCGTGAATCTCTCAGCCCAGCGGCAAAGGCATCCTTGAATACATCGTTGCCCACACGGGGCGACTCGAAGTTGTAGGACAGCCCCACGCTGTAGCCACGCAGCTGCCTGAGACTCAGTCAGGTCCTCCAGTAGAGAGGTTAGAATAAGGGTACCAACTTTTTCTGTAGTCTATTTTAGTAGGAGAACCCTCCCCCAAAACAGGGTAAGAGGGCACTACTGGGGGACCTAGTGGTATTAAAACGAGAGTCGGGAAACATCAAGCACATCGCCCAGGCTTACGTGGGGTCACTTCAATCAATTGGGCTATTTTGAACCGAGGAAATGGAGAACGCTTTGGCATAGTATCCGGCCCCTCTAAACGCGGTCTGTTCATTCATTCGGCACACCATGCGGCTGCAAGCTTCCCCCAACGACAAGCCAATCTGCTCAGCCATACACTGTCCTGCTGGCCCTGGGGCCTAGGTGTGTCTCAAAAGAGCCTATTTAGGGAGCTCAGGTGCAAGGATCACGAAAAGACTCGACTTGCAAGTCGTGTGTCCGGGACTGCCGGTGGAGATGCCTGTTGAGGGTCTTTGCATTGCCGACTCCAAAAGAAAAATATAAACAATGCAAAACCAAGAGCAGGAAGAATGTGTCGTGGCGAAAAGAGGGAACGTGATGGACAACATACTCTTTCTCTGCCCCTCTATGCACCATCTCGGAATGAATGGATAACACAAACTTGGCAGTTTCCGCCCTTTGGAAGCCTCGGCTTCTCCACACATCGACTGAAACGAAGACTCCAGGCTCGCTGGTGAGCGCCTTCCTGCCAGCCCGCCAAGCTGCAGCATGTACATTGCCAGCGTGCCCACCGCTGCGCCCAAGGAGTGTCCAGTAATCAGAATGGTGCCCTGATCTGTGCCTGCGCTATGAAGGGATCTTTGGCAAAACGCACCCATGAGGCGGTGTTTTGGGGGGACCAACTCATTTCCAGTGAGCATTGACCCACCCAACGCAAGCATCAACAAGCAGCAGCCAGCCACCTTCTTCAAGCGACAAATCAATCAAGCTCACCTGCCTGGTATGCAGCCATTGTCCACCAGCACGCGCCTCGTCACCAGCAAGCCAGCAAGTATCAAGAAGAACTCCACTTGAATTTCCCGACCCTTTACTTTTTCTAAAGTCAGACAAACAGGTTGACAAGTTGAAGGGACACAACCCTAACTTCGGCCCCAGTCATCCTTGCCATTGATTTCGCTCCCCTACCAATCCTGACGAAAACCGCACGGGTTTTGGAGCAAAGGAGCCAGACTTTGGCCTCGATGCCGGTCCACACCCGCCAAAAGCCATCAAAGACTTGGCAGCCATCACATTCCTGGCAGGTCCAGAGGCCGTTTTCATATATCAAACCGCAGAGGTCTGGATATTCCATAGGTGGATGGACGAACTGCCTGCGCCACTTTGAAACCATGGGCAACCATGGTTTCTTGGCATTTACAAGGGGGATCGAATCAGAAATCGATGGCGTTGGGATGGATGTCGAAACCATCCACGGTATTACCCCTTTGGCCAACATGAAAAAACACGGGCGATGAGGCTGTGGTCTGGCACCTTGGCACCTTTGACAAGGGGCCACCCACTGTCAAACCAGTACATTGGCCGAAAGAAAACGTGTGTGTGCAAACACCCTCCCCCAAGCTTCCAAAACCTCTCTGTGGTTCCATTTCCAGAGAGCTTCCATGATAGTCCCGTAAAACAACATGCCCCCGCAAGGTATAGACAGTTCAGCTCGGAGAGTGTAGCACCAAAACCCACGAGATCCACTCTTGAGCCCTGGCAAGAGTGCCGTGCCTCGTGAGGCAGCGCATCACTCCAAAAGAAGGCGTCGTGGAGCGCGTTGGTGAAGGTCTTGGAACCTCAAAGATTGAAGATGAAACGACCACTTTGGACATGGATTCGGAACTCCAAAGCAATTAGGGTCCTTGGGCTTTGGGCTTCCCTTTAAACCAATCAAACCAAAGGGCTTTGGGGGTGGCCCGTCTTTTGGGCAGGGAAGGGGCTGGGGAAAAGCACAACGGGCCGGGCGGTACTCATTTTGGCGCTTGCCGATTCTGATTTATTTTATTGGCCCTGGTTTGGCACATCAATTGCCCATTGTGATAGCAATGGAAGGCCTTCTCAAAGACTAACTTCCCGTTTCGGAAGGTTAGCCGATGACCAACGTGACTGAAAACAAATGCCAATATCGGGAATTGCCCCTAGGGTGCAATTCCCCAAGCAAAACACGGGGGATACCGAAATTTC